AACATGACTTTCTATTAATAAAACAATTATTAATGGAATTTATTGTATTTCAACATACCAATGCCTTATACACAACAGTATTTTTACATAACATGGTGAGTTAGAAATGTGCATACTTGTGTGTGTCAACTGCTACATAAAGTAATATAAATATGTACAGTAAGTCAACCTTACAGAACAGTAAAGCTATTTACAGGCATTGTTCATAGTTTGTTCATGTTAACTAATGGATTAACTAATGCTAACTAACCATGCTGTTAATGTGAAATAATGCATGTGTGATTTAATATTAACAAATATTAACTAAAGCTGAACAGAGGTGTTGTTCATGGTTAGTTCATGTTAACTAATGCATTAACTAATGTAAACTAATTGTGCTGTTAACGTAAATTGATGCATTAGTATATGTGTGAGTTAACGTTAACAAATAACTAATGCTCCTGATAATCCTGAAAAAAAATGTATCATGGTTTTCTAAAAATATTAAAAGCAGCAGTTGTCAATTGTAAATAATAAGAACGTTTACTTGAGCACTAAATCAGCATGAATGATTTCTGAAGGATCATGTGACACTGAAGACTTCTGCTGTGTGTTTCTGGCATTATTTTAAATCAATTACATAATGTGAAAGAAAATACAAAAATGATCTATATGCACTATCATAATTCGAAGAAGCAAGAAGTAAATCTGCACATCTCATGTACGTATTATTATGAGTACAGAATCACATCACAGATTCATGACAGACTGATGGTCCGTCTCTCTCTGCAGACATTATCACAACATTTCACATGGTTCTTTTACTCCCTGGACAAACTTGAAATGCTTAAGCCATTATTAACCCGACAACACGGCATTGTACTTTATTTCAGTTTTCACTCCGGCCTATTATTCATTTCTATCTCATGATCTAACCAGAGGATTATGATGATATTCCTTTTGCCGTGATGTATCCATGTTTTATTTTGACATTTACATCCTGATGCTGGAGTCATAAACCAATCATTAAACATCATTAATCCCCAGGTCTCTCCTTAAACCGGCCATTCTGCAGTCTACCCTGGAGGTATTACAGCAATCTTAACTACCATTGGCTGATAGACTTCAGCAAAAATTATTACCTTAATAAAGTACAATATTTGCATGCACAAGCATCTTATATCTGACACCGCAAAGGCTGTCTGGCTCATTTTAAGTGCTCCCTCTGGGAAGTTTCTTGGCAGGATAAGTGATGTGTGGCACTCCCATTTGGAGAGGGACCGCAGTGATGCCGTTTGAGTAAATATGGGCTTTTAACTCTGTTCCAAGTCATCTTTAGGTTAAAGTCCATGTCATTGCCTTCTATATCCTTGCCTTCTCCACCACACTCTCTCTACCCCTTTGAGCTGGAAATATGAAAATAATACTGCAACGTCACCTCACGTCACCTCACAAATACAGCTGGAGGCGTCTGCAATCACCAAATTTAAGAACAGTGTTGTAAACTTAATTAATGATCACAGCAAAAAGCTAGTAAAATTCAATGTCCAAGAACACTGTTTATGGATATTTAACTTTTAATAGCAATGGTGGTGGGAGCTGGGAATGACTTTTGATTTGGCATGGAAAGTGTAAAGAATCCTGCTGATACTTGCGCCACAGGTTAACACAATTTCAGTTCACAGAAAAAAAAAAAAAATCCCTGCGAGATTGCTTTTGCAACAGTTGATTTTGTTGAGATTTTTCAAGGAAATAATATAGGGAATGACTTTAATGATACAGTGGACACTGTTAAAAAACGAAAAGAAGAAGAAATGGCAAATGCCAAAAAAGATCCAATTATAGAACTCTGTGACAAATTTGGTATTAAGAGGCGATACTAAATTATTCCATGTGAGAATGACAAATTGTATAAGACACATGATAGTTGCTTTGACCATTTTAGAGATTTGCTTTATGTTCCCTGCTAATAAAAAGGGGAATCTGAAGGGATAGCAAGCAGATGCTTGGCCATAATCTTCACAGGTCCTTCCCAAATGAAAACCATAGGTCATAAATCTCATCTCAGTAATGGCCGTGTGTGCTGTTTTAAAATCACTCGTCAAAATATTACAAGATTTAACTGACATCCAGAAATGGTCCGTAATTGCTAGGGGAGAACGAGGCTGTTGTCAGTTTGTAGCCCAGTGAATATTTCTTAGTGTTGGTTTATTTTAAGTCAGTTTATCATTAAATACGTGGCTACTGAAAATATACAGAAAATGTACAAGGACATTGCTCAGGTAAAAAGATACACGATAACCAACGCAGGGCATCTTGTCACATTTTTCTGAAAAAATGAAGAGTAAAACAATTATGAGAAACGGAACAATTCATCAAATGATATGGCAATGTGAGCCTACTGGCATTTGGATGTGCTCAACTTTTAACAAAAAAAATATTAAACTTTTATTTTAATGAACAAATGTATAACATTTTAAATCTATTTGACAATTAACCTTCATCATATACGGTAGGTGGAACGTAAATGCATGGTTTTACTGTACTTAAAAATTACTGACCAAACCTTAAAGTACTTAGGTATATCTCTTGTAAGGACATCTTACCCATGCCATGTAGTATTGTATCTTCTATAAAGTAGCTCTCAGACAGGATTTATTCCCTTGAATGAGACCCCACTCCGGAAAATCCTTTTCCCACCATTCCTTAAAACCCAATGCTTTCTTTTATGTCTTGCATCCACTGTGAATTCTTCACTATTCTTGAAGACATGTATTATACTCTTCTATATAAGCGAGACCACCACTGCTTTTCTTTCGCCTCTGTCTTCATGGGGAGTGCTGGATTAAAATCCTGGGGGGTGGATTATAGCAATAACCGTTTATTAATTTCTACAGACCTCAAAGGTACAGTATGATCTGTGAGAAAAAGAGCAGGACAATAGAACTCCTTCATCTCCTGGTGTCTGCAAGATTCATTGCTGTGTGTTACTTTACAAAGCGCCAGTGAAAAGAAACAGATGTTGTGTATCTGATACTTTTAAAAACAGTGTAAATCATCACTACCTCTGAGTATACATTTTTAAGATGATCAATAATAGCTATACTTAAAGCTTTTCAAGTTCCCCCGAGAACAAAGGCCCAAAGATCCGGTTTAAAGAAAATACTTCATAAGCAATTCAGAGCAGAAGAAATACAAACTTGTAGATTAATCAAGCAGCGATTCTGCCCATATCTGGACAAAACGTTAATACAAAAAAATAAGGAGTGCTCTATATTGAAATTATATAAGTGAAATTATTTACAGTAATAGAACCTATTGCCAATGTTAACATACTGTATGTCATCCAGTTAATATCATAAAGCATGTATACTTAAGGATGAGTACAATGTTGGAGGCCTGTATAATTATTGAGAAGTCTACAACTCCACTGCAGACATGTTTCATTCATCAACAGTCCATATCAAAGATTTTCAAAATCCCTAAACATAATTAGAAGCGGTGATTATGATGATTTCACTTTTCTAACTTTAGTTGCTGTTTGATCATAAACAACATCTGCAAATTTACAATGCTCAAAGTTCTAAGCTAAGTGAGATATTTTCTTTTAAAGACTACATAAATGGCTGGTAGGGACTACACAACATTCCTCTCAGGCTAGTGACATCACTAACCCTGAAATGTATTTCTATTTTGCGATTTATAGATTATCACGACAGAATATGCTAATCAATGACTTAGAACATACACATAAGCTACAGAAATTCAACTATTCAGAAATATCCTGTTGCATTCAACATGTTGTCACTTCTTCTTGAGTCTCTCCATCTTTATCTGACTCCGGTTTGAACATAAAAGGCGAAAGGATTTTTTTAAATTGTCAGTTTATGTATGTGTGAGGTTATCAAAGCTGCTAAGGACACAAGCTGTTGAAGCTCTGCCCCCTCTGAGGGGAGCAGCAGCTCATTTGCATTTAAAGGAACAGACACAAAAACTTTGTGTTTTTGCTGACCCCACGAGAAGTGACAATTTTATATAAAAATATCTATGGGGTATTTTGAGCTAAAACTTCACTTACACACTCTGGAGACATCAGAGACTTATTTTACGTCTTGTGAAAAGGGTATCGTACCACTCCATTGCTCAGTGTACTTCTCTAAGTGACTGGACTGGCCTGGCCTGGCCTGGCCTGGAAGATGATAAAATGAGCAAATAAATTAAAAAAATAAATAAATCCCCCAGACAACCAACCAATCAACCGCTAGCCATTGATGGACAGCAGCATTGCTAAAAGTAGCAAATATATATTGGTATTCACATTGAGGTAGTAGCGTTGATTTTATATGTTTTACATTACTATTCAAAAGTTTGGGGTATTGTCATTTTTTCAATAAAATACTATTTTTATTCAGCATGGATGCCTTGATATGATTTTTTTTTAAACAAATGCTGTTTTTTTTACTTTCTATCCATCAAAAAAAGAACACTGAATCCATGGTTTCAACAACAACAACGAAATATTACCCAGCACAATGGTTTTCAACTTTGATAATAAGAATAAATGTTTTTTAAGCACCAAAGCATATTAGAAGGATCATGTAACACTGAAGACTGGAGTAATGATGCTGAAAATTCAGCTTTGCTCTCACAGGACTAAATTACATTTGAATACATATTGAAATAGAAAAGAGGTTATTTTAAATTGTAATAATATTTCACAATATTACTGTTTTTATTGTATTTTTGATCAAATTTTACATTTCTCTTGACAATATTTGATCAATAATGATGTATAGAATCAAAACAAGCTGGAATTCTGAAATGAATGACTCTTTTGAGTTAGTATCTTCACTATCTTGACCAGACCATGAGTTATTTTCTTGAGGCCACCAGTTACTATCTTGAGGCCACAAGATAGTTATAATTATTTATTTTAAATCACGTGTGGGACTAGGGGGGCTCCGTATGCAACAGATTAAGTAACTGATTAAGTAACTTAATTAAGTAATTAATTAACTTACCTGTAAGCAGATTTTATGTCATCTGTATTGGGTCAACGTTTTCATGGTATCTGTTAAGAGGAATCTCCAGGAACTGACGTTTATGTCCCCCTGTTGGATTGTGAGGAAATAGAAAATGCCTTATGATTGATGTCAGCTTCATATGCAGTCAGGTCAGGTCAACACTTGCTGCTGTGAATGGACCATAAAATACTGAATGCTGATCTCAAAATTGCCCAGCAGACACTTTCTCAGTCTTCTTTCTTTTCTCTTATAGACCACCAATGAACATTACATTAAAAGATTAAAACTAAAAGGAAAAAAAAAAGAAAAATCATTTAATTTTATATGTCAGAAAAAATTACCTTATACAAATAACTATTTAGAACCTCCTAATTACCGGTGCAGACGATTAAATATCCAGAGAAGCTCGTTTTAAATTCTTTCCTTTATATACTGATCCCTCTACGTAACAATAAAAAGTCAGGAAATGACTCCCAATTATATAAATTAAAATGGCAACACCTAACTCTCATTTAAACTCACAGAATGAGAGAAATAGAGAAGCTGCACTGTGGGCCAACTGTTGTTTTTCAGTGGAAACTTTTGATAAATCTTTTATCTTTGAACTAGGAAAAACTTTTAGTATGAGTCCATGTCATGCAAGATTGGTTTATATGAGGCCAGACCTGGTGTAAACAATACATATTTTCTTTTATATTGATAGCTCAGCCAAAACTCATAAGAAAACTCTCCTGCTCTTTATTAGACTACGGCACGCACTCTCAACTTTGTCCTGACAACAGACGAGCAATCCAAGGATTGGTCAAGGAGTAAACAAACTAAAACAATGGAGGAAGTCTAGATGATTTAGAGATTAGCATGATGTGGGTTGGTGGAAAAAAAAAAAATCATAGCTGGCTCCTTGCTGCCACAAAAATTGCAGGCACAGCCAAGCTGGGGTGGGCCAGGATAACGCACACTCATGGCAAATCATAACTATGTAATGTATTGGCAAATTGGTTGTTAATTTGTACAATCTCATTCATACAGTTTCATATGATCTGCTTACGCCCTATGAGGGTTAGGTTTAGGAGGTGATTAGGGCTGGACCTTTCTTTTTTTTTTCCTGAAAATCTTGTTTTTGTACAAATTAACCCCTGGTTTCAAAGACAAGGCTTAAGCTAGCTAGTGTGAAATGCATCTTTGAGCCGTTTTAACTGACGTATCTTAAAATATTTCAATTGGTTTGTCTCAAGATGCCATACCAATAATGTTTTTCTTAGGCCTAATCCTAGACAATCCAAGCCATGTTTGTGTAACCAGGCCTAAATTGTACAAACACATTTGAAATCCAAAAGTTACATTTTCTGCAAGACGTAAACAACACTGGTCCAGAAGCACTTCCTGTTTCAGTTTTTTAACACTACATAGCTGGGATAAAATACAACCAACAGAACATATAAAACTGAATCAAAAAGTGAAATAAACATCTTTAAGATGTTTTCTTTACATGTGAAATAAAGAAAACAGTTACAAACTGAAACAGGAAGTGTTTCTAGACCAGTTTAGCCTACGTCTTGCAAAATGGTCTTGGTTTTAAGAAATAGCCTAAGAAGTGCCAAGAGCTAAAACAAAACAAATGATTTTAGCTTAGATTTATCATTTTATATTTAATTTTGTGATATTAAAATCTTAACATAAAACTTTACATAATTTGGTGAATATTGCCAAGGGTGAAAAATTTGCAGGTCAGTATTTTTTTCCCCCATCATCTTTTCAGGCTCTCTACACAACACGTTTGAAGAGTTGCTGGCAAGACTGGACTATGCCTACAAAGTACAGTGGTGTCCACTTACTTACCGAGGACAGTCTTGTATCTCCATCTGCTTGTTTTTTTTCTAGCCACAGTGTTTGTTTTCTCTCTCATGATCAAATGCGCCCGCCGCCCGTCGAAACGGTTCTTCTCTCTGTTTTGTAGCGTTCGAATTTATTTATCATAAATTCTTGAATAAACTGTAAAATAAATAAATCAAAAAGCCTAAAATGGTCACACCTCCTTTTGGAAAATTGGATTCATTCTATCTAATCGGTTCATCCAGCATCGGTTCGTCTCAAAAGGTCCTCTCTAGCTTCGGAAAGGCAGATTCATTCTAGTGAATCGGTTCGTTCGGACGAGTCAAGTAATTATTACAGATCAAATCATGATGTTTATGACTTTTTGCGATTTAGTGTTGTATTTTATTTAATACAATTCCGTAAAATTTTGCTGCTAATTTTCCAATCAGTAGGCCATTTAAACATGTTATACTTATGATGTGTTTTTTAAAAGCATGTGTTTGTAGGCTATTTATGAAATAATATTGTAAAAAAAAAAAACATTTTTGAAAATGTATGTTAGCGCAACATGTGACTTCCCAGTGGTAAGCATGCAGGCTAATAGCTCACTGGCAGGTACAAAGTTCCTTTATTTGCTAAATGATTTGACAGTTTATAATGTCTAATGTTTAATGTGTTGCTCTGGATGCTATCCAAGTGCCCTGGCATAGAACCATCATCAGGTGCCATGCAGCTACTCAACTAGAAGTTATGTGACTCTGTTACATTTCTATTTTCTAATGTGCAAAATATTTTACATTTGGCTAGATTTTAAATAAAGATGTATTTAATTCTCGGTTCATCCAAAAATTAAAATTTTGTTATTCACCCTTAATTCGTTCCAAACCCGTAAGACTTTCGTTCATAACACTTTCTGTCCTTCCATTGAACTTTTTGAAGAGTCTATCCAACTACCACTTTGACTCTTTAAAAAGTTCATAAAGAGATCATAAAACCAATCCATTTCATACCATGAATCGACCGGTTTAGTCCAAATTTTCTGAAGATAACTGAACGGTTTATATTGAACAGATTCAATTTTGGCATTTGTATACATTTAAAAATTGATCAGCAAACATAAAAGCTCAACTCAATCTGCTTGACGCACAAGAACAATCCTCTTGTGGTAGCTCAAACGTGGCGCATAACACAGGAGAATGAATGAACCTCATTGTTTTTCGCATGCATGTCAAGCGAACATACTTGAGCTTCCATTTACCATAACTGATGTGTGAGTTGTGAATAAAAGAACTAAATTAAAGCTGCAGTCGGGGAAAAAGAGTTTTTCCTCTTGGTTGCCATCTCTGTTCGAAATCTGCAATTGCAGTCATTTGTGGAATTAGCAACTTTACGCGAGTGTGTGGATACACAATGTTTGAGGAAAGTGTGCAACTGTCAGTCACTGTGGCGGTGTAGAGACTGTCATTCAGAATCACAGATTATTCTTTTGGGAAGTATGACCAAGATAAGAATTTTCACCAGGAAAATGTCATCTGAACTAAGAAACGTCCACTTTTGTTCTGGTTCTGTCATTGCAGTAAATCGCACTGATTAATTGCTTATAAGTTATCAAATCATGCAAAACTGCATGTGCAAATTATAAAAACTGTGCAAATTATATTTGTTCTCAAATTGTTAATGTTAACAACATCTGCATTGCGTGACTACATGTAATGCTCTTCCGATATGTATCCTTGTTTTCACATGGGTTGGTTGCAGTCTCTTTTTTCACTCCGGAGAACGAAGTCTTTTGCATTTTACAGCGGGTGAATCTGTTGTCACTTGTGATTGTCAATTGAACCTTTCTGGATCCGCCATCAAATTAATAAGTTTAATTATATCAAGTGCTGTAAGAAAAGGCTATAAATCTCCAGCATCATCACACGCAATATCCCAACCTGACTCCTTTATGTGTACAGATGTGATGTAATGATCCAAAGACATGCTCGATTCTCCCGCGGAAATCCACCAGTGCCACTGGAGTTAAAAACTAAATTTTCTCAAATATGCATTTTGGATCATTTTTAACCCAAAAAGCTATGGACTGCAGCTTTAAATCTGTTCATGATCAAAAAAAGCTGTTACATCCTGACCATCATTTTTCACAAATGAACATAGCCTGTTTATAAACATAGGTGGTGCGAGGCTGCATCTAAAGCATGCAAGGCACAATTTTGCTGCCACTTGAGGTAAAAAAAAAAAAGTGTTTATACAACAAAACACTGGAAAACATTTAGCCTTCTCATGAAAACAATAATAATAATGAGGAATAATAATATTCCTTATTGCAATTTATTTATCTTTTAAATATGAATATCATAATTAACAATCAGACATAGAATAAAAGTGGTCTTTGAAGGTCCCTACAGATGTTTTAATTTAATTTTATTTTATTGTTACAGATAGATAGGATGGAGGGATGTTTGTCAATAAGGTGAATATCTAAATAAACAATATTCCAACCCAATTCCATCACAGGTTTTTTGTCTGTCAGTGTGTGTTTTTGAGGGGTGGGGCCAGATGAACCTTCAGCACTCCGAAACTGCTCTAGATGGAGTTGGATGCAAACTTCGTGAGGTAGAAGCTCTCCGCAATGACTTGGATGCTGTCCGGAGTTTAAAAGTGGATTTTTGTTTCAGAATTACGGCAGAGAACCGCAAAATAAACCAGGCCTATATGGGCTCCATTAAAAGCGCAGTTGAGTGGAATTAGGGGATTTATCTTTGGGATTTTCTATTTAAAGTTATTTTTGTTTCTTTTCCATTCTCCCATGCCCAGTCTTGCTCAGATACGCACGGGGACACTGATGTAAACTGTCATGACATTTTAACCGAAGTCAAGAATCGCACGTCCCATAATAATCATAGTTGACAGCAATCTGTTGCTCAGCCGCTGGTGTCTGCTAGCAGCGCGAGGAGAAAGCCATATTACAGACACATAAGAGCCTCGCGCTCAGTGGATTAATATGACGCTCGCGATACTTAGGTAGGTTATTCGATCGGCTTACTTCATTATTTTCGAGTGTATCAAAAGATTCATTTACGTCTGAGAGATCGCCACGGAATAAAATCCAGTTTCATTAGACCACGCAGAGCTTGAAATTGAAAATTTTATTAACTAACCTAATATTTTTTTCAGATTAGGCTATATCTAAATGTTAGCCTACTTTTAATTTATGAGGACGCTCGGCAAATATAATGTAGCCTATGATTATGCACGGAGACTTACGTTTTTAATCATTATTATTTTATTTGATCAGATAATTATTACCATTTTGTGTACATGAATTTTATAAACGTTTTTTACACTATTATTAAAAATAATAATAACAACAAATCATAAATATCGAAATGTCTTTGTATTATTATTAAATGACATACAATCAAAAATCGAAAAAGATAAAATATTGTAATTAATAAGAGGATTATTGTTATTATATTATTCAGTAATTCAGCTTTCTAGACCGAAAAAAAGCTCACAATAAGAATTTTGTGTTACATAATCAATGTCCTTTATCTTTGATTTACTGTATTATTGAGGGCCAAACAGGGTTGAGAATCGAGACAAGTTCATCAGGGATATTCAAGTTTTGACCTGCCAGTTACTAAAATCCAGATCTTATGGTTTTTAAACATCCCTTTGTTCCTTCTCTTGCCCAGTGTTAGGTAATCTGGCAGCGCATTCTGCAGTAAAATCAATAAGTGTTTTTGAGAAGACCTGTCCAGAAGGAGAGAAGATGATGGTATTATAGAGATAAAGACAGGTGCAGTCTGACAGCTGCACGCTTGGTGCCAGTAAACAGATTTAACAGCATAATTTACTGCCTTAGACAGATATTTCAATGAAGCTGCTGTGGTCCTGACTCATGGGTGTCGGTAGATCCACTTCGGGGTGAAGTGAGTGTGATGTTGAGGGCAAAGAGAGGGTCACCCATTAGTGTGCTGCAGATTTATTGTATACTTTACTCATAGTTATTGCATGGGCATTGTTTATTTTTGTGGTTTTATGTTTGGCTGCCGTGTATACTGAAACAATATTCCCCAAAAGAACTTTATATGTGCCAAATACACACTCCGAATTCGTAATTCTTTGTCAGGTCATCACCGCTTCTTGTTTTGAGTCTAGTCCCTATAGGCTTCTATTTTATTTCATTTGGGATGGATGTTGAACGTTTTACTCTCTTTCCTCATTTCTTTGGGATTTCTTTAGCGGAGGAATTCCAGGGGGTCTGGGCCATGGTTCCAGGCCAGGCTAGACAGACATCCACTCTGTTTTATTACAGATTCTGTTTATGGCCTGTTTACTGCTCTGACCTTTTTCATGGTTCTGCCTGAACTTGCTGCCTAACACAACTGCCTGAACACATGTTCTGTGGAATAGGCTGGGCTTTTGGACTTCGTCATACACAATAGAAAAAGGCAGTTTAAAGAAACAGAGAAAACAGTTGCTGATGCACTGAAGTGGACCTGGAGCTGAGACCACCGGTGGTCCTTGGGATTCTAGGCGGCCCGCTAGTTGATTGGCTGATAGAAAAATAGAAAGATATTTTATATATGAAATTATAATACATTAATATTATTATAATTATATAAATATATTAATGATGCTGTATAATAATTTATATACACATATGTTTGGAAACATTACTATTTTTTATGTTTTTGAAAGAAGTCTCTTATTCTTATCAAGCCTGCATTTATTTGGTCAAAAATGCAGAAAGAAAACAGTAATATTGTACAGTAATATTATTACAATTTAAAATAATGTTTTGTTTTCTTTTAATACACTTTAAAATATAATTTATTTATGTGATGCAAAGCTGCATTTTCAGCATCATCACTCCAGTCTTCTGTATCCTTCAGTCTTCTAAATGTTGTAATGTTAATGTTTTCCAAAATTTTTGGCTATAGTTCTGTACAGTATATATTACACTAACTTTGAATTAAGTGAGTCATTTATACTCAATGAATTAGCTGATTCATTATTTTTAAATGATTAATTTTATGTACAGAAAGTATACATAAAAGTTCAGTCCAACAGACATTAGATGAGTCTAGATTAGTAATTTCATTGAAATAAAAGGAAAATTGCAGTCTAGAAAAATGATGAATCAGTGGCCAACCTTGAATGAAATTTGAATTGTTTTGCCACCTGAAAAAGTTTTTCAATATATTGGGATTCAATATATTCTATATTAATTGTTGTACTTTGAAGTTGATACCTGCATCAGGAGAAATTACACAACAGACCATTTAAGCTTCTTTCTATAAATGATATAGTTTTGGCATTTAGCTGAATGAGCACAACAGAAGAACAGGATCTGTTGTTTGTAAATGAGAGGACAAAGACATGAAAAGCTGTCACACTGTCCTAACAAAAGCATAATCGGTCAGATGGTGGGGATGCCCCTCATGCTGCACTCAGAAGCTATTTTGGGAAATGACAGTGGATTTGCTTGGATTTGACTTAAATGTAGATAAACATTGGTTACACAGTTTTGATTAGATTTCTCTTTCTGGTTTAGATGGACAAAATCTGTTCCCGATTTCACCTGAATCCTGAAAATATAAACTCGAACATCATCTATCTTTTATTTTCTGGAGAAATCCCCTTTCTGGTTCCAAGGCGATGGCATATCTGTGCGTCAGACTGGACATATTTCTCCAAATGAATACTGCTGACAAGCGCTACGAACAGCAGGCAACGGGAGGTTTTGGCTATGGGTTATAAATACAGAGAAAGTGTCAAAGACATCGGAATATTATTCATTGCCTAAGATAAGTAGACTTCGGGAAAAGAAGATGTCCTCAAAATTTTGGTGGAGAGAGAGGAGGTTGTACGAAGATTTCTTCTTATTTCTTCTAGACTCGAGATCATCGTTTAATGCTTGATGTGCATAATAAATATTGTTTCCTTTTCCCGTCATTTAAATCATGTCCACTATAAGCACATCTGTGTTTGTGGTTTATTAATTTTTGCTGTCGCTTAGTTTTACCACATTGCTGTAACCAAAAGATCCTGTTAACAAAGGGCAATAAATGTTTCTTGTTATTTGTGATGTATACCGTGCTACAATTAAACACTATTAAACTTCTTATTAACAATGGTTTATATTCGCATGACATATTTGCACAAAGTGGCTTTTCCACCCGCTGCATTCTCATCGTTGCTTTTGGAAGTCAAATTCAAACCAAAAGGAGTAAAAATCATGTTTGTCTTGCATGTTAGCTCATAAATTTCAATTTATAGACTCAGCAGCTTTTCATATTTCAGGAGCGTTGAATGGCTCAAATGAAATATAGATATCTGTAGAGCTTTTGTTGGCATTTAAAAGCACTTTTTGGTATGCTAAGAATTAACAAATAACATGATACAAGATCCAGAGGACCTGTGGCCAAATATGGCCCTGCTTTCCTGATGCATGATGTCTCTCTTGCGTAAATCCAGCACGCTCATCCATTTCTGCTGGAATGTGATTAAGAATCATTCTATAAACATATCTATCTGTCATAATGAGAGGCGTAATGTGACCGCTTTCTTAGCTTGACAAACGTTTTTTTTTTTTCTGCCTATTGTTTTTTTTTCTGACAGATGGGATAAACATGTTTTTTCCTTTCTCCATTCCTCACTTTTGGAAGTGCATCGACTATAGGTTATTTTCACGGTGACCTATTTCTGATCAGTTCAGTTCTAGCTTTAGTGGCCGGACTATACAGCTCTCGTCAGTCTTATAATGGGGAAATTACAGTTAAAATGAAACATTTTGTTTGCTTTCCCGGCTCATGAGTCTATCTGGTGAAGGAAAAAAATAAGCATGGCTGGAATGTGTGGTTAAAACGGACAAAATAACAGTTTCAGATTATGTTTCACAATCTATTGTGTCCGCATTTATAGTTCCAGACCAGACTTCCATGAATCAATTTAACAAATTTAGAGCGCAGAAATGCTGATCTTCGTTGAGAAAGAGCAGTGATAGAGATGAAAGAGTGCAGTTATGTAAGCCCTCCGTAAGGCTGTTATATTCTTTCCGACGCTTTTTCCTCGATACATTTCATGACAGTTTACAGAAAATGCAAAAGTACTTTTTTTTAAGTTTTCAAAAACTTGCATTTCTTCCCCTTCCAAAATATTTGGACTTTCTTTTGACACGCTGACTTAAAGTACGGATTTATGTACATGTCTCATTGTGCTTTTTCTCCCCCCATTCACCCACTCCTCTCCACATCTAACTCCCTCCTTCCCTCGCTCGCCCCCTTTTCTCTGTCTCTCCGCAGCAGATCTTGGCACTGACGGATGCGTTGTCACGCGTAGGAGTCCAGAACCTTTCTCCATCTCTCTGGGGTTTTTTTCGGCACTCACCCTCCTCCTCCCAGCATCCCTAATAAGACACATGCTCCTGGGCTGTGTTGCTCACTCACGTTAGGATCTCCTGGCAAGCTCCCGCCACACTCTTCTCTCTCTTTTCTCGGTTTTGCCCCGGGCTTCATGGGTTGAAGGGCAGTTTACGTTGTCCACAAGATCTCATCATCTCACCTCGGCTCTCCGCACCCAGACTTCATCATCTTCAGCTTCATCATGTTGAGTGCTATGGTTTGTTCCCCAAACATGTTCGGACTTGCAGAGGCCTCCAGCCAAGGGCTCGGCGACCGACTGTAGTCGACTCTGTTCCACCTGCCACAGCGTGAAAGAGGCCCTCAGCTGTGATCTGTCTGCCTGCAGGCGGGACCCAGCGTGACTGGGCAGCAGGGACTATGCATTTGGGACTGGTGGTGCTGGCAGTGGTCTTCCTCAGCTCCATGGGTCACGGCGATAACCTCAAGGCCTTCAAAGCAAGAAGACAGAGACGGAGTGAGTGTTGATGATCTCTCATTATTAGGTAGCTCGGGTTAAGTGTCTCTTATGGCTCATTCCTTTTCGTGAAAGTTTTGGTGGGGTATTACTAGTTTAGGACCTGCTCTGCTGCTTTTAACAGCAACTTTGCTTTTAAAGGCGAATTGTTAATGAGCATGTCATGTTCCAAAGCGTAGTCAAATTTGACCGATTACAGTTTTTAGCCTGGATACAAGAACAGAGCAAATCGAATTTTTTAATGACGTTTTTCATGCTATATATATTTTATGGAAAAGCTAGTTTTGAAACCCACACATTGCAGCAGAACTGACTTCTAATATTGCAACATGTTTTGTTTCATATTCAGAATAATGAAAAATCAACCTGCACATTGCTGTCGCTTAGTTTTACCACATTGCTGTAACCAAAAGATCCTGTTAACAACCCTTTAACAAAGAGCAATAAATGTTTCTTGTTATTTGTGATGTATATCATGCTACAATTAAACACTATTAAACTTGGTTTATATTTGCATGATATATTTGCACAAAGTGGCTTTTCAGTGGAGCTCACTTTGAAATATTACATAAGTTCTCTCATGTGTCTCCTAGTAAGAGCACTGGTGTAGGATTATTGTCTCATATTTTAATGAACATGTATGTTTATAAAAAGTAGTGGCCTATCTTTTTGTGTAGTATATTGCTAAGAAATAAGTACTTTTGAGCTTTGGTATAAAGTAAAAAAAAAAAATCAGAAAAAATTCTTATCATATTGTTTATTCAGTGGGAAATGTACATTGAAGACTGCTTGCAGTGTTGAGGAGTGTACAGCGTCCTCTAGAGGGAGTTGTACGTAGTGCAGAGACATTCACAGTGGTTGTACACAAAGCTGCATAGCATTTGCTAATGGTTAGACTGCTCTTATTTAACTTTGTCAGTTAGTTTTAAAACATTTACATTTATTCACCTGCCATTCACTATTAACAACAAAACAACTATCACTATGACTATATCACGTTGCACTAGGAAGACTAGAAGTGCTAATCAAAACACAGCACCCATGAGAATGTAGAGAGCTATCTGTGGAGAAATAAACAGTGTGTAACTTGGTCGAATAAATCAGCGGATGCTTCACTATCTGTTAAGACTTCTTGACCTCACTGTAAGCTAATCCGACCAGTGCTTCTTGATAGTGGAGTTTTTTTAGCGTTCTATCAACAAAATGAAAGCAAACACCTCTGACAGCTGTTATTATACAAGTGATTGATCAGCAGTCACACTTTAGTCCTGTTGGTACTTTCCTGCTTTTTTTTCTCTCTCGCTCTAAATGTATCCAAACCATACTAGCAAAACATCTAATATTTCATTCAGTCTAAGAGTTTATTTTTGTTAGTTATAAACTATTTTAATTAATGATACCGCTCTGTGCATTAATCCAGCTATTCTGCCTCCTCTATAATTTTTCTCAGTATTTTTCCCGTTTTCCAGTCAAAAATGTCTAAACATTCATTAATAATCATTCATTTTAAAACACTTTTAAAATTGTGTAAGCAATAAGATTTGTTTTCAGGGAATATATCTTGATTTAAGTTTTCTTTTTCTTGCTTAAAGCATTAACCTCATTACATTTTGCTAGACTAGTGCTTTAAACGAGAGAAAATATATTTTCCAGTGAATGAACAAATCAGCAAATATTATCTTAAAGAAAGTAAGTCTGATGCAATTCATTTTATTTTAAATATTTGTATGCCAGCTAATTTGAAATCAATTCATGCGTTTGATTTCTTGTATATTGAATTGTAGTTCCTCAGTACAGCGATGTTGATTAGTGAATTTTGCTTTCTAAGAAATATTCTACTTGTCTGTTTCTATTTGGCCCCTCTATAATTTTCGTAATTTTAGAATTTTGCCACATCTAGGGTTAAAGCCTTTTTCATATGAAAATGTTCAAAGTGGAAAACTTTACAGTACAGCTCATCAGCAACAGCTTACATTACCAGTCCACCTAATGATATTTCAGGGATAATGAAAGGGGAAAAATGTTATTCAGCTGGAGAAAATCACTCATTTTATGGTTTCAAGGGGGATATATGTGAATGTGACCAGCACAGTCTGACAATTTTGTGATTAAAGCAATGAAGACGGCTATGTATTCTGGGAAAATATTGTGAAAAATAATTAGTAATAATATTTGGATTACTTTCATACAAAATTTCTTACTGATTAATATATATTGCATGTATGTTTTAAGACATTTTCAATGGTTAAAATTAAGGAATCTAAAAAAAAGATGAAAATGTCACTGCGTCTGGAATCAGAGGTGCATTCGTTTTAAGATACAATCAGAGATTACCATGAGGCGAATTGCATAAACAACGAAAAAGCTAATGTAAAAATAAAAATAAATATCTTTAACTTGAAGTGGCTACATTGAGTTGTCCAAGAGTTAACTAGGTGCAGAACTCTTGCAGGCAGAAGTTCTATGCAGAATGCAATTCTATTCATAGTCAGTGTGTGACTTCACATGGATAAGTCTATATAGCTTGTTTAGTGATGTGCAGCAATTTTATGGAAACTTTAGATTCTCTGCTAATAAATTGCCTTTAGAGTTGGAAATTAGATAGTTCAGGGTATTTTAGGTTGTATGACATCATTGGGAGTTTGATCATAACAAGGTCTTATTTATTCCTTGCATGTTTTGTAATCTTTCCCTTGAATCCAAAGGAGACCTTCTAGTCGTCATATTAGAACAAGGTCTAGAAGTGCAAAGGCTGTCTTTTTTAGTGTGTGCAAGGTTTGTGTGTAGTGCATGCTATGCAACCTAACCAACCTTCCTGCATTTTTGTCCGGGCTAACTGCCGCTCAAAAGACCCGTGCAAAACAATTTTTCACGTTCATCATTTATAATGCTAGTTTCATATTTGTTGCTCCTGCTGAGAGGCCTTTTCATTTATTTCAGCTGTGGAGAGGAATGCAGCGATCGGATAATGGACACCCATATGCCTGAAAATGATCCATTTTTATGGACTTTTTTGGGTGGTCCTTGTTCAGCTGAACCCACCACTTGAGTCCTTGCTACTGAATATTAAAGGAGTAGTTCACTTTTTTTTAAAAAAAACTTTTGCTGATAATTTACTCACCCCCGTGTTATCCAAGATATCCATGTCTTTCTTTCTTCAGTCAAAAAGAAATGTAAGTTTTTGATGAAAACTTTCCAGGATTTTTCTCCATATAATGGACTTCATTGGGCACCAAACGGTTCAAAGTCCAAATGAGAGTTTCAGTGCAGCTTCAAAGGGCTTTCTACGATACCAGACGATAAATAAGGGTCTTATCTAGTGAAATGAATCTTTTGAGTCATTTTGTTCGTTGAATGAACCAGATTAATTCATTTTGATGAACGACTTCGAACAGGAGACTCACGAACGTGCATCACAGAACAGAGCTAGGCGAGCATTTGTGCTTATAAAACGTAAACTTTGTTATTTATTTTTTAAATGACCGATCGTTTCGCTAGATAAGACCCTGATTCATCGTCTGGTGTCGTTTAAAGCCCCTTGAAGCTGCACTGAAACTGTCATTTGGACCTTGAACCGTTTGGTGCCCAGTGAAGTCCATTATATGGAGAAAAATCCTGGAATGTTTTCATCAAAAACCTTAATTTCTTTTCGACTGAAGAAAGAAAGACGTGGACATCTTGGATGACATGGGGGTGAGTAAATTATCAGCAAAAGTGAACTACTCCTTTAATAGTAAATCATTTGGTCATGTTTTCCAGTAAAAACATATGTAAACATCCCTAAAATAAGATCATATTAAGGGATTTATTCATCCATTAGGTTGCGTCACTGTACGTGCTGCTTATTTACAGCTAGATGGTTATTTTAACAGCATAGAGATTGATTGCCTTTTGAGTGTGTATATTTAAAGCTGATTCTACACACATAGACCTATAAATTAAAGCAGATGACCGCGGTTTGACTACCAGAAACAGGATGTGCACTCTGACCTCTGACATACTTTCAGCGTAATCGTTTATTTCTTCTTGGCCTCAAACACTGAATTTTTCTGGACGTTAAAACCAAGGCATGAAAGTCACAAGGGATGAGTGAGCTTTCTTGGATATCTCTAGCTGATTTGTATTTCATCATGTGTCAGCACTTTGGTGCACCTGAACAGAACAAGAACAGATTGAAGTTTCAGGCCCCTTTGTCCCTAGTTGACCCATCACAAATCAGGGCGTGATGTCCCCAAATTTTGACCGTCCAATTCCAAAATACCGCAACATCATCCAATGAAAGATTTCCACATGAAAACGAACAAGAGTACAGAGCTGCAAACACAGAACACTGTGTGTAATAAGATAAACCAGTGCCATGTTTACAGCCCTGTAGTCTGAAGTGCTGTTTAGAAATCCTCATGCTGATGTGTCATATGATGAATCGAGTGTTCTCACATTGCTCTCTCAAAATGAATTATATTACGCCTACAGAGTTTGTATTATCATACACTGTTTTGCTCAAATGACTAGCACAGCTTGTCACGTGTTGTATTTTGGATCTATCCGTCTGTCTGTCCATCTGTCAATCCTTCTATATAATATAATATGTTTATTTATCTTGATATTTAGGGGTGATGGTAAACTCGTAGTAAAGGACCTTGGTTGTTCATTCAAAGACTGCAGGTTCAAATCCAGGTAGAAGAGTATCTGACATTGTAATCCAGCTGTCTACTCCTGTGCAAGGCACTTAACTACTTGGGAACTAGTCATCGTAAGCACTTTGGATTACAAAGGGCGTTGTACACTGTAAGAAAACACTGCCGAATATCACGCTCCTATCTTTCTGTCTTTCTTTCATCAGTAAGCACTGAAGTGCCACCATCATGCTCAAATGGCTGCGAACACTGCTCAGAGTACAACGGCTGTCTTAAATGTCGACCCCGACTCTTCATCCTACTGGAGCGGAACGACATCCGTCAGATTGGCATTTGCCTCGCTGCCTGTCCTGTTGGATATTATGGCATTCGAAATCGGGATATGAACAAATGCACACGTGAGTCTTCAAGCTCTGCTGGAATATTTGTATAATATCAAAACTGTAAATAAGTATACAGGGAGAATGAGGTAAGCATGGAATGTTTTCATCAAAAACCTTAATTTCTTTTCGACTGAAGAAAGAAAGACATGGATATCTTGGATGACATGGGGGTGAGTAAATTATCAGCAAAAGTTTTTTTTTTTTAAAAAGGGAACTACTCCTTTAAGCTTATTGGGAAGAAGATGGCACAAATGATGCAATTACAAAAAAAAAATAAAAATCACCACATTCATTAATACTGTAGTCCACCAATGACATTGAACTTGCGCATCTGACCCGTGAATGCCAAGCGTTTTGTTTTCTCTTACTCTGCGGTTGAAAAACAGGGTTGGGGGATGAAATGCAAAGCAAAACATTGATAATACGCTGCTGTTTGTCTGCTTCTCCTAGGAAGTATGTGTTATTGTTGTAGGCAGTAAATGCAGAGGTCATGATAGTTCAACTCTGGCCAAATTTCTTTCATTCTTTCTACGCAAACCCTACGCAAAAAGCATGATGAGGACTTACCTTAAAACGGCCTCTTTGTTTTAACAGAGCGCTCTCTAGGTTTCAGCCGGGGACTCGGCGGCCTGTTCCCATCATGTGCGTGAGCATTTTTACTGTGATTTAGGCAAACCAGGGGAGGTAAACAAGGAAATACCTCTCGTAAATTGATTGGTGGTACCTCTTTACTCCTGTTGTGGGAGGAAATTAATAGCTTTATTTCTAACTTCAACCTAACGAAGCTTTTCCAGTGGTAAATTGAACGTCTTGCTCCCCTTTCAAGCGTGTTTTGATAGCCAATTAGTGTGAACCACAGCTTGGAGTCATTATATTTTGTTATAGGAAGAAAATACTTTTGTTACCAAGATACACTCTTGCATCACTCGGCCTAATACCTCTCAGATGGTTCTGATTTCAACTTTCATTCTAGATAACCTTAAATTTAAATGTTAGCATCAAGGGAAGTGAGAAATTAGCGGAGCACTGTTTTTATTTCACAACCCTCTGGAGCCTTTAATTCATCATTCCTTGACTGTATACTTTACACTTGCTTTGAAATAGCACATGCAGCTGTCCGCTAGTTAGCCTAAGTATTTTTTATGACCAACACATTGAGACCGAAACGTGTTGTATCCACAGGTGTGGACTCCAAAGCGCTCAGGACGTCACCAGACCTCTCATTGTCAAAATTTCCCCTCGACGTATTCGTTTCTTTCTCACTTGGAGTGTTTCAGGCGTGTTTTGAAAGACGGCTGTGCATGCGAACCCCTCCTTCATCTCAGACCTCTGAGTGGCTGCCCCGCTGCAATTATTCAATCAGCTGTGTGCATTTGATTTGTCTCCAAATCCCCATGATGTCTTGTTAACAACATTTGTCTTGCATTATGGGTGCATTTGTAAATGCTCGAGTGCAAAAGAATTTGCTCCACACATTACTAATTTAGTTGTCAGGCATTTTAAGTAGTAATTGAGAGCAGAGATTATAACAAAAAACACGGCTCAAGTACGTTGTTGGGCCCTCTTCTGCTTTTGGCCGGGACTCAGAGATATCTGAGATATCCGTGTGCTGCTGCTCTGAGAAAGTCCCAGGTATTTGAACGGAAATTTAAGAGCTTTATTTTTGGACATTTTTGCATATGTCACGGTAGTTTAACGATTAAATCTGTTTCGCAAAATTATTAGCAGGTCCTTCTTGATTCAGAATTCAAAAAGTCTATGTCAATCCGATTTAAAGCAGAAAATAATCGGTTTTAGGAGTTTACATTTTGTATTACTTTAAAACGTAGGGAAATGACCTAAAATGAGGAGCATTTACCAGATGGACTTTTGCTGCCATTGAAGGACTTTGAAACATCATTCTCAACATGACTTTTAGAGCCGTTTGTACAGCATCAAAGGAAAAGATTGAGAAGGATATTTAAGAACTGGATCCCCTGTTTATCATAATGAGGATAATAGTAATGGGATTATGAGTGGGGAAATAGATTCTGTTTCAGGGATTTCATTCTGCCAAAATCCCAAAATTCCCTCCAATTTGAGGCAGTTTGCATGTTTGATCAGAGACGGTAGGCTTCTAATGAGACAGAGGTGTGATGAAGCCATTTAAGAGTCTTAACATTCTTGAATGGACTACTTTTTGGATAAGAAACTACAACAACCAGACGGTGGACCACTTGTTCATAGTTTACAATCGGTCTTGCTAAAACGATTCCATAACTTTTTATGTCTTTCTTCATTTCAGAATGTAAAATAGAAAACTGTGAGGCATGTTTTAGCCGAAACTTTTGCACAAAATGTAAGGAGGGCCTGTACTCGCACAGAGGGAGGTGTTTCTCTAGCTGTCCTGAAGGATTCACCGTCAATGGGACCATGGAGTGTGTAGGTGAGTGAGCAGCATTGTTTTTTATGTTTTGCTTGCGTGTCTTTTTCATACGATTCTTTCTATGATAAATGAGTACCTGATTTGGAACATATTTCTGTTAGATTTTATCCATTTTACCAGAAAAATGTGAACACCTTTAAGCATTTTAACACCTGCTATGCTCGATGAAATGAAAATACAACTTCTTTCAAACGTAAAAACTTTGAAACCTAAACCTAGATCACGGTGTCATTTGCAATTACAGTTCACACGGCCAAGTTTTGTGTTTGATTACGTTTTTAAGAAACATTTAGTATTTCAATTGTTTTTAATTTTTTTATTTTAAAAGCAGCCTGTGTTGTTTTGTGCATGTCATCAGTTTTTATAAGCACATGGTACTGTACTTCTGTCATTGCAAATCACTTATTCTGCTGGAATGATGAAACTGGACAGTTCTCGCATACCTTGTGTTTTTTGTATTTCTTTGAATTCTCTTTTTCTGTGGTTTCTCAATCGCTGTTGGAAAAAAGCCTGTTTGATGATAAGAGTTTATTGATTTCTTTTGAAAATATTTCTGTCAGAAGCAAGCAAACACAGCACTAATAGCATTACTCACAATGGTGGTGCTGGCTCGTCCAGGCTGCTTGGCCTTTAAATGTAGAGACTCGACTTCCAGTGTGACATTGTGCCAAAGCTTGTGATGCCTCACCTGCGTCAATGAGTCAGTCCACCACTTTGTATTGTAATGTGTATTGTTTTGGCATAGATGAGTTTCTTTTGACCTTCCTGCCCCCAAATACATTAGACCAAAAAATTGGATGCTCAGAAAAGACCTATTGCTTGAAAACAGCTCAATTCAATTGAAAGTCTGGAGCTTGACAGCTTGTCATTACGTTGAATAAAAATGGAGCCTACCTCATACAATCATAACACAAGCTCTGCTTTTTAGAAAAAAGTAATTGGAAAATGTGAGTGCTGGGTTTTAGAAGTCTGAATCTCCACTGTGGCTCTTTCTAATGTAGTTTCTTCAACTTTTGTCTGGAGTAACCCCATCCAGAGGAACAAAATGTTCAAACCCAAAACAGTTTCTTCCCTATTGTTTGAAAATATGAAATGTGTACTAGATTCATTCTGAAAAAAAAAAATTGTTCTTTCTCTGTTGCAGTCCAATGTGATCTAAGCGAGTGGAGTCTATGGGGCCCTTGCATGAAGAAGAACAAAACATGTGGCTTTAAAAAGGGCAACCAGACCCGTACCAGGGAGCCCGTACAGATTCCAAGTCCTGCCACTTCCACAGGGGCCGCGCCGCCCTCGGGCTGCGTCCCAGAGACACAAACCCAGAGATGTACCGTGCAGAAAAAGATCCCTTGCAAAGGTAAATCAGAGAAAGAACAACAGAAAAATGTTGGAAAGAGGGTTGATAGGAAATACTTGCGCCAAAAGGAATGCGTGAAATCTGCTATCCAACTTCAATAAGCATGTTTGCAAATTACAGATTTGTTGATTTATCGGTCATTTATCTTTTTTGGCCACTCGGAAAAACATGTAAACGGTCTCCTGAAACTAATTTGATTTCATTTATTTACGTTTTTTGACATAATACGGTGTAAATAAACTCCTGAGTGTTCCCAGTAAATAAACAGAAGCCCAGCTGTTTTGTAATCTTTTCGTCGCTGGCTGCGGATCTGAAGGCGGCCTTTTGTTAGTTGCTTTAACTTACTGGAAAGTGAGGTTAAAACGCTTCTCTGGCTCTCGAGCGGAAATGGAACGTTAGTGGACCTGTAGTGGACCTGTTTGATGTAAACTTAAAAAAAAAAAAAAGTCTGAACAAGTTGTTTCTTCCTGCAATTGCACTCGCCTGGATGGCTTTTGTAGATTTCAGCCTATAGGAGTTTACATTGAGGAAAAGTTTCAAAGTAGTTTATAGTTTATATAATATACAAAGTGTACAAAAAAGCTTTCGACTGCCCAAATAAATATTTGTTTATTTTATTTTGAGATGTTTCCTTTATATAGTGTGTATATATATAATATGTGTGTATATATATACTACTACTACTACTACTGTAAATTTCTCTTGAGCGACAAATCAGCATATTCAAATTATTTCTGTAATATCATGCGACACTGAATACTGGAGTTATGGCTACTGAAAATTCGGCTTTGCCATCACAGGAATAAATTCTGGAATATTGAAAATAGAAAATTGTTATTTTAAATTGTAATAGTATTTCACAATATTACTGTTTTTGCTGTATTTTCATCAAATACATTTAGCCTCAGTGAGCAATGCATTTGCAACATTAACTTTCGGCATTTTTTAGCGTTATAATTTTTGTTTCTTAAAACAAAGTTTAACTTTTCATTATTCAAGTTAAGCTGAATTAACTACAGTGGTATACTTTCTTTTTAAGGAACCGTTTGCCCAAAATAAAGAACCGTTGTTCTGCTTTAACCCAAATTACATTTTCATCTGTGAAAAATAAGGATGGGAAGATGATTATTCCAACCGTCAAGCTTAAAAAGCCCATAAACGTACAATAAAAGTAGGCTAGTCAATACAATCAATTACTTTGTGTGAAGACTACAGATGAATGCTAAAATGTACTACAACAGACTAGCTTACAGAAGACCTTGCAACATCTCATCGACAACACAAAAAAAAATTAAGCCATCATGCTAATAAAAGTGTTGACGTGATTGTGAATGCTTTTGTCAATAGATATCTCTCAAAAACTGAGGTCTCTTGAATTTAATCACATGTTGTTAACATTAAGGTGCAAGCATACCTAGATACCATACTCAAGCGATTTTTATCAGTTTAGGAAAATGCATGACTCATGACTCAGTCTAAATGCTAAGCTAATTGTAACGCCACCCAATGAGCGGTCCCTAAAATAAACACCAGAATATACCTTCTAGAGCTCCTAGTTTTCATCAAATTATTGAGAAACAGTGTGTTCCTGGAAATTACGTCTTATTATTGCGAACAGCCTCACAAGATCAAGTTCTCGCTGTTCTGTCGGGAGAAGTGGGCTCCATGCTTTGCTGGACAAGGTGTGACAGCGCCATTTGAGAAATGAGAGGCAAATTTACTCTGCATGACGCCCGTATTGTGGAAAGAATTTTCACTCGGGGTCCATAAGAATAATTAACAGTGAAATATTATAAACTGCCCCATAAAAGTGCTATATCGCCTGCCAAATTTCTAAACTTAGAGAGTCCACTTGTCGTAAAAGCTTTGCAAAGAGAGAGAGAGAGAAAGCTACGGTGAACTAATAGGTCTGGACACATGTAAAGTCATTTGTTTGTAGTTCAATCTCATAATATCATTCTTGTCCTAACTATGATAAGGTATGATCAAGTAAGAGAAGTGTTGTGGAGCCGCCTGGAGTCAAAAAAATGTTTTCCCCACAAAAGTAAAGCGGCACCACCCACCCGAAAAGAATTAATGCAAATCAGGTGTCAAAGAAAGCATAGGTTATGGGGTTGCATGACCCAAACACCCTCTTTTTTTTCTTAGTGCGTAAATGTTCACCTTGTGCTAAATTAGCAAGGCTGTGAATACATCTGCAGGAATTGGCTGACAGGGCTGCTGTAAAAATCACAGGGGGCAGTGCTTGTATAACACCGGTGATTTACTGGTCTGCAGATCTCACGCTTTGTGTTGATTATGCCAAGCTACCCCCTTTCTCTTCCCCTTCCTGTAGCTTAATAAATGTCTTTGCACGAAAACCGAATACACTAAATGCATGATTGCCTTTGTCAGGCGATGGTGTTTAGGTTGGATTGAGCAGCGCTGTAATTATTGCTGTCATAAATGAATGGATCCTCCCCAAGCGCTCTTACCGCTTTATCAAAGCTAACAAGTCTCCTCCATGTGGATCCAAAGTTTAAGACTCCATTTCCTTCCATGTTTTTTTTTCTTTTCGTTTCACCTCGGTTTTTAAGTCGTGATTAAAGGAGACACTTGTGTTGAGCTTTATGAACTTATTGCCTTTGAATTCCTCACATGAACAAGATTGCTCTTCTCGAAGCAGTGAGTACTAAACGATTGAATTCAATTAGACATCTTTTGTTTTTGGAAGTCTTCCGGAATCTTGTCACTGATAAAACTATAAAATGAGTAATTGTTTTTACACAATAAATACAACTAAGACCTAAAATGAACACTCACCAAGTGCCAAATGCAAAATCGGCGTTGGCGAGTATACTGTGTGAAAGAGTATCAATTGCCAGTTGGCCGGTAATATTTTAAGAATTCTAACAGTTGCAATATTGTGAGAATGTGAACGAACGTGAACGACGCTCAGGACAGATGACAAGCCAGTTTGGCATTGTCACAAAAGTGCAAGAAGACAGGAAAGGGAACTCGATTAGTTTCTCGCATGCTGAGAAATCCACATCTCAGCCAGCACGCGAATTCCAAATGGAGCTCTCCTTTTTCTTCTTGAACTTGAACAGACACATTCAAACAAAAATATGTCCAAATCGTATCCTCTCAAACAGTCAGTTATGTCTTAAGTGAACATAAACGGTTATAATATATTCAGTATATATTGGATCCGTGCATTAGCTCTTAAAGTGACAGCAGCCGAATATTCTTGCTGCTGTCTGTGTTTTTAATTCGATTCATACAACAAAAGACAAAAAAAAAAAAAAAAAATCACTCTCTGCTCTTGACTAAAGAACTTTTGTAACTTTAATAAAGATTAATCTATGTTTCATGGCTCGTATAAAATATTTATGGCCGCAATATTTTCTTAAGTCACCGGCCATTGGCAGGTTTTTTTCAGTAGCACTTCATTGCAGTACATGAGATCAAGGAGGCGGAGTTGGATCCAGATATAAGTGGTGGAGATGGTAAGGATTAGGGGTGGGGTTAGGGATCAGGGGGTGGAGATGGGTAGGTTTAGGTATATGTAAGGTCTGGATCTGGATCCAACTCCTCGCCCCGGATTTCGTGTACTGCAGTGAGGACCATCTCGTTTTTTAGGCCTTGTGTACAATATATTTATCTTTGGTCCTCTAATCTGATTGGATGAGCACTTTCTTCTGTCCTCTAATCTGACTGGACGAGCACTGGGAGGTTTCACCACTTGTCTATCTTTCAGTAGGTTTCATTGAACCATTCATTTAGATGATTTGTTAAAACCACACTGATTAAAGGAATAGTTCACTTCTTTCTTCTGCTGAACACAAAAGATTTTGAAGAATGTCGGTAACCAAACAGTGTATTGACTTCCATTGTATATTTTTTTTAAGTCAATGGCGCCCATCAACTCTATGGTCACTGACATTCTTCTAAAAATCTTCTTTTGTGTTCAGCAACTTGGTGAGTATTTTAAGCGAACTATTCCTTTAATTTAGAAACTAAACAAGTGACTGGCTGAGTCCGAAATTGCATAGGTACTTCTTTCGGAAAATTAATTACTTTGACTGCTGAAAAGTACATTGTATGTAGTATGAATATGTGTTGAATGAATGTACCTTATTTGTCTTTCGACTGATCAGTGCCAGTTGTGTCACTTTACTGCCATTCTCTCACTTGGCCTCATGGGATAGTAAAGTGTCCATCAGATATGCACTTCAGAATATTGTATTGCACTTCACTTATTTCATATTGTTTTATTAAAAAGTCCCTGTTCACATTCTGTTTTTCACCTACTATATATTAGGGAAGTTTGCAATTTTGGTCTTTATGAGTGAATGAGTGAGTGAGTCATTGAATCATTCATTCAGCTGATTTGTTCACAACACTACTAATTTGTTCTGGAACAAAACAAGTGAGTGTCTTAATTGAGTCATTTGGGTCAACAATTTGTTTAAAAACATTAATTCAGAAATGAAACACCACTACTGGGTGTTTCTCCGAAATGTGCAGCGGCTGTCCTGTGGCTTCATTTGAGCTATTTTCGCTAGTAGAGCAAAACATATGAAGTACATGTACATATTGTGTCATGTAGAGCTGTTCGGAAAAGTGCTTGTGATAACCTGCAGCTGAATAACAGTACAACAGCACTCTTTCTCTTGTGATATAAAGAAAATGTTTAGTTGTTGATGCTCCAATTATAACATTATATCTCCAGATTCAATGGGGGAGATTCAGGGGGAATGGGCTCTATGCACGCCGTTATTTCCGGTGAAGGATTAAGGATGCTCGATAACTTCCGCCGATCATAGAGTCCAATGCAATACCGAGAATTTAAATTGAATTTTATACTCCATGGTTATACTAATGCAACGTTAGTCACAAAAACAGATAAAACAGACGCCCCTCATTGTGTTTATGCTTCTTTTTAAAATTATATTAAATAAACATAACTATATATAAAATTACATCTAAACGTATGTACGTTTCGTTTCAAAGACGGGAGGACAGTAAATATTGAAGATAATCCCGTTTTCTCTGGTTTTCCTCCGCTTGAATCTACACAACCGGAAATGGACGAGCATCCTTGCGTCAAATGCGGAACTTATGCGTGCATATAGCCCATTGTAATTATTGCTTGTTTTGTTGTTAGATTGTCCATTAAACTCTTAAATCTTTGCCAAAGAAAGTTGTTTTTTGTGCGCTTAAGATGATGCCATTTCAAGTCAAAAATCTGTAAAAGTGAAACTGCTTTTTATATAACTTTTATTAACAACAAACGGTTTAATTAAACAAATGTTTGTTTGCCCCCTTCCCATTCTATTTTTAATCATGCATTTTATGTGGAACAACATCAGGGCATCAGGATGAGCAGAGAGCCAATTTCAGGAGGCGCAGTGCGGCTGTGTGTGTGGCTCATGTTATCAAGTGCAGAGTGAATGCTCTCCAGCACCAAATGAGTGTTGACTTTGGTTTCCAGGGAACACTGAGACTCACAACACTAACTTCATAACAAATATCAGTCAGTCCGGGGCCCTGACTCCCCTCTTATAGTGGTGCAAGTGAGGCTGATGGGGAAACAAACCAGCCTGTTTTTCAGTAAGGTTTTAGGACAGTACTATAGTTCAGCTTATAGAGCTGGTAAGTCCCGCCCATCCGTAAAACTCCAAGTGGACCTCTAGGTTGAAAAAGCGTCAATGCAAGTGAATGAGAGAAAATAATTATTTTCTGATCCCGTTTGAATTGTGCCGTGAATGTAACATATGTTGTCTGTGAATTTTTTTATATAATTTCTCATGTAACGAGTTTGGCAGTATATTGTATGATTCTTTGGCTAGCAGTTGTGGAATAGACATAACGAGAAAGACTACACGTCGCAGATGTGAAGTCGCCGCATAACACATTTTCCCTCCACAAATCACGGTTTTCACCACACTCAACTAGTTTGTCCTCTCCCTGAAAGAAGGCGGTGAAGTGCACCAAAGACACAGGATCCGTGTGCTGGTGAGGGTGATGTACATCAAACACGTCGAAAGAGTTGTAGTCCACAAAGTGCTCTCACACAAAGTCTAACCATATGAAAATTCTACCCGCTAAATTGTAGCATTCTTCACATGAAAAATTATATAAAAAATTCACAGACAACATATGTTCACATTAATTGCAAAATTCAAATGGGATTAGAAAAAAATTATTTTCTCTCATTCACTTGCATTGGCGATTTTTCAACCTAGAGGTCCAGCGGGGTAAGCTGAAGGGGCGGGACTTACCAGCTCTATACACATTTGAATATACGCTTCCATATGCACAGCTTAAGAAATTTTTTTTTTATGACTCAATTGTATTCATTTCATATTATATATTTATATACTGTTTGTGTGTGTGTATATACTTGTGTGTATGTATGTGTGTGTGTATTTTATATACTTTTTATTTCCCTAAAGCTAACCACTTCTCAACAATATATTAAAAACACAATAGGTAGATAAATGTAAATTGGTTATTTTAATTAATTTTATTATTCAGATATTTTAGTGTTTGAATTTCATTTTTAATTTGTTTAAAATGCAAAACATGGGAGTCAGACTATAGGAAAACCAACTTGCATAACTTTTTGGAGAAAGTAATTTTTTATTGTAAATCTAAAAGTAATGTGTTACTTTACTAGTTACTTGAAAAAATTACATAACTTGCGTTACTTGTAATGCGTTACCCACAAATCTGGTTGCAATTAGAACATTGAAGATGTATTAACGTCTGGTTACAATATAACATGATATATATATATATATATATATATATATATATATATATATAAAATATATAAAACATGCTAAATACACTTAAACAAAACTGTATGTATATTTTAAATTAGATTTACATTTCTTACCCCTAACCCTTTTTTTTTGTTTTCACAATAAACCTCACTAAATCTTTTTCAATATACACTTAAAACAAGAAAAAATATCCAGACATACAATTAAGAGATAATACATATGTAGTTTTCTTGTACCCATGTTTTTTTATGTTAAAAATCAAACAAGCAAGCCCAGCCTTGCATTACTTTCCATAAAAAGTAGCCTAACTAATTAACACAATTCGTTACTTTTTTAGGAAGTAACACAATGTATTGTGACATTACTTTTAAAAGTAACTTTTTTCCAACACTGATTGCAACTTTCTTTTATCTAGGGGAAAATAAGAAGAACTCACAGAAAAATGGAGAGAAAAATGGCAAGAACCGTGGACGAGACTCCAAGGAAAGTGGCAAAAAGAAAAAAAAGACCCCAAACCGGTCCACCACTGTCCCCACCATTACAACGAGCATGGTAACCTAACCTTATCATGGGGTCAGGTGAGCCTGAGAAAGGAGAAGGCCTGGCCCACCTTTGTTGGCTAAAGACAAACAGTATTTGATTGTGACATCAAAATTATGCAAAGAAAAAAAAAAGGAATAACGCTGCTACACGTAAAACATGCTCAATGAGAACTGGAGGATTGCTGTACTAAATAATGAACTGTGTAAACTGAGTAAAGCTTGGGGGATCCGAGGAGCTGGGTTGCTTAGTCTCATGCTATTTGGAAGCACCCAGAAAGACTGTGCGTGTGCAGGGTCATCTTTTTGTAAGCCTTCCCACAGGAAACAACATTGTTTGTGGTTGGCAAAACGGTCCATATGTTTCTCTTTAGACCTATCAGAAAGGATTCTGAACTATAGAAGACACTGCAAATCCCCACCGTCCAAAAAGAACATCTAAAATACATTAGAAACTCTTTCTATTCACCTAATCCAGCTGTTATCACATTCTGTTTGTCCAGAGTTGGATCTCCTTACGTTCGTGACAGGTATACAGTCTTGAGTCTGTGTCGGAGTGAAAAGTATTTTTTTAAGTGCTTTTTTTATGTTTTCTTTTTCTTTCTGTTGTTTATAACAAAAGAAGGCACTGGAGCTGATATTGTGGTTTACAGAGAGAATGTGGAGAAAGAAGAACTTTAATGATGATGAAACTATCCAAACATGAAGAAACGCACTTATAACTTACAACCGGTAGAGCGGTTTTACTTGTTTTAGTGTAAAATAAGTATTTTGTTTAGGGGAAAATAATTACAATATTTTCTGCACAGATGAAGGCAGCGATAATATGAGGAATGTACAGTGTTTAAGTATGTGTATGAAAGATGAAAGATTGTGTGCGTGTGTCAGATTTTGTGTTTTTGAATCTGTGTTCTTGTGTGCACCTTTATGTTGTAAAGCAAGGAGAAGAGAGAGGTCAACAGTACATTTCTTGTGACCAAACCAGTACAATGCTTAAGCAGCATTGATTATATGCTTTATAGGGTTTTCATTGCTCAGTTATCATATTTGCAACAGGTTCAATATATCACATAATTCATAATGCTTTGCAACATTTAGTATCAGTATCAGAGGAAGGAATGCTGTACATCCTACAGTTATTTAAATGTAGCATCCAGTCACACTTAGTCTGTTTGATTACCACAGCATCTTGACCATGGGCTGCAAAAAACAAAAAACATTGTAAGTATATGTAGATTGTTGAGACCTGTGATGCTAATGGTTTCTACCATATCCTATAGGCTTACTATGCTTTTGGGAAATGCAGTGGGTTTTTACTTTACAATATACACCCCGAATGAGAATTATAACACTGAAAATGTCAGCTTCTGTTTATCTTGATGCAATATACATATTGTTATTATATATCTATTTCTATAAAAATCTACAAGGCAAATAAACACTTAAATAAATGTTTGGATGCAGTTATGAATAAATTTTTGATATTTTTTTTGTACAGTCTTTCTGTGTATGTGTAGGGGGGTCGGGGCTGGTTGTGTGTGTGTGTGTGAATATCCTTCTCCACATTATAATATGAATATTATTTAACCTTTAGTTAGTGTGGTAACACTATTTTACAGTGTCCTTGTTACACATTACATGTACTTGCTATAATAACAACAACAGTAAATTATGCATAATTACAAGCAACTAACCATAAAATAAATCCTAATCGTAATCATAACCCTATATAAGTACATGTTGTTAATTATTATTACTCAGTACTTAATAACAAGGACACCTTAAAATAACGTGTTTCCAAGACAATATACTTTTAAATCAATGTCAAGTTGGGAGCAAATTGTCCGTCGGGTTTTACATGTTATGAACGTACACAAACTATTACAAAATTAATCAGCCTAAACAAAGTTTTGAGATTTTTTTTTTTGGCTACATTTCCTTTTTTTTTGCTGTTTTATGAATTACTTTGCATTTCATAATTGTTTAATTGTTACATTTAGCTGAAAGCCTCTATAAGGCTGTGTGTCAACTTACACCATAATGTGAAGGTGGGTTCAGTGAACTGTATGTTTTTCTTTTTTCCTAGCTTGTAATATTAAAAACATGCATTTAAGGTGTTAATACAGAGAGATGAACCTAGAAATATTTACTGAAGTTAAAAGTGTAACCAGCACCTTAACAGAAAGGCTATTTTTAGGGACTTTTAAATATTTTATTTTATTATAATTACTTTTCAGTTGTTGAAATACTGAGGGGGAAAGTAAGTCTTCGTTCAGTAGCCTATAATCCCCATTGTTGGAGGATTTTTTATTAATATTTTGCAGGGGCACAGCACTGGGGTGGTGTGTGGAACAACATGAGAGACGACAGTATTTGGTTAGGAAGGTGTTTGTGTTTGTACATACAATTGTGGGTCAGAATGTGTGGCAGTAGTTGGTGCCCAGCAGTAAATCTTGAGACAGAAATAAAAACTAATGATGTGTCATCGCCAGGGGGAGGGGCTTAAACAGGATCGCACCCTCCAACTGCAACAGCCGTTTCTCATTACAGAGGGGAGGGCAGAAGAACGGTAAAGAGTGGACCGTAAATTACACTTTCATCCCCCTTCCTGACCATAAATTCTTGCGCTGGCTCCATGGAACGGAGCTCTCCCTCTCGTTCACCCTCTCTCATCCCTCGAGTCGCACCCCTCCCGTGGCCTAACCTTCGTTCGGTTCCTCTCTCTGCCCATAATCCATGTTTAACATTATGATTAAAGTCACCATTAAATCAAAATAGACAATTCTTCTTTTTGTGTGTGTGTGGAATTGCAGCACTATAAATGATTTATCTGACTGTGGACATTTTTTTAAAAAATCATCACGGGCCCTCGTAATCTTTAATCAAAATAATGTCCCCTCCTACTCGCAGCAACAGGTGTGTTCGACTTGAAGCAATGCTGTGCAGACCGGCCGCTATATGACATCAGTAGAGCGATTCGAAAGCATATGGAACTGTCTGCTCTCTAATCGCTCTCGCGGTACTTTGATGTCATACACAGATCTGCGCATCTCTTCTCTGATGATGTGTTTACTGACGCGAGGGAGGGGCAACATAACTCAAAAGCACTTGAAAACAATATAATTATCCAATCAATTTCTGATGGACAAAATCAAGTCCTGTTTTGCATTTGTTCTGCTTCAAGAAGCTGTTACACTCTGATCACATCACAGGGAAGAAAAGACTATTGCAACTCAGTGGTGACTGGTGGGGTTTAAGATACTAAATTGTGGCAGTCTGGGGATCCTTATTCTCCTGTAGACTGACAACAGAAGGTCTTTCCCCATAGCAGCTTTCATTGGACAAGGACCACCAGATGTTGACTTTGAAAATCCTGAAGTTTCCAATTTTGCGTGCCATTTGCATCAGATGTGCAGCCAATAACGTCTGAGGCTGAGATTAGGGGAGGCCTAGGTTTAGGGGGGGAGGGGGGACCAAACAAATATTGTTTCCCTCTTTCCTCAAATGATTTCTATCACAAAAGTTTTACGACTTCTGGCGGAACACAAATATATACTTATTTTTCCTTAACTTTTAGGGGCTCCAAATATTGACAAACCAGTACAGTCTTAGAAAAAAAAAAAGGTTCAAGTGGCTTCTTTTCTCAGTTTTAACGAGTTGTTTAATTAATACAATTTAATTAGAATTAGGAATTGTAATGAAAACTAAAATAATTCATTAATTAAAACTAAATCCATAAAATGATCAGAGCACGTATTAAGAATCATAATGCAAAGAGTATAGCTCCAAGTGATAAATTCTTAGAAAATTCTTAGAAATGTGGGCGTTTACTTAAAATGAAAGAAAAAAATCCTACTAAAAAAAAAAAAAGTAATTCAGAAAGTATCTTTCCCCCTTAAAAGAGGTCTTAAGGTCAAAATTGTTAGGAGTACGGACGAGGACTTTTAAGAGGCTTAAGAGTTTCTTTAGCAGAGGAGAAAATGTCAGAAAGACAAAGAGGGAGAAGAAATGTGTTACAGACAAAAGATTTCAGTTGAGTTAATAAGACGCTATAGATTGACACCCGGCCCAAATTTGCCTTTAAGGATGGCCTTGTGTTCATCAACTAACTGGACAAAACAGTAAACACTGTTCCTCTGTCCAGTCGAGCTTTCTTGTCCTTCTTGGTTTTGATTCCATGTTACATTAAAGCCAGCATTCAAACCACCACTTAAATATGCCAGCAATCAGTGTAATTGGAAAGAGTGGAACAATTTTTATCATTCTACGCCAATCAAATACCTTATAAGAAATTAACAGCATGGTAAATAAAAAAAGTTTTATATACACACAATAGGATATATATATATCAAATAGGAAAAATCACGCATGTAATTTCAAAGACTTACCATAGACCCTATTAAAAATCACTCTTCTTTCCTTCTTGGACAACCAACCAATCACAGTCTTTAAAAGATTGTGTCATAGCAACACATAGCAACGGGGTCAACCCCACCTCCTCACTAAGATGAAAGATTTGTCTTTTCCTTAAGACTCCTACATAAACGTTTTTACGCTAAATTAAGAGTTTTCTGAAAGGATTATTAGAATCTTTATGAATATGGCCCAGATGATTAGAACCCCTAAAAAGTTCCAATTATGAAGTGCCTGACAGAACCATTAAGGTTCTATATAGAACATAGTGAAAGTAGAATGAAAAAACGTAATGTTTGAAAAACATCACAAATATGCCCTCATCTGAATATTTCACCTCATGAGGGCCGAGCATTTTTGCTTAGTCACAGAACTGAAAATGTCCCCCGTCCTCCCTCTCAGGTCATGGACTCCTCTAGAGCAAATGAGGCCACGAGTCTCCTGCATGTCATATACTCTTCGCACATAAGCCAGTGCTTTCCCACTGTTATTACCAATTACCCAATTTCTCTCTTTCTTTCAAATCATAACCAAATCCAGCTCTCTTCACATGAACTCGGGGCTTCCCCAGAGAGAAAACTGCTGCACGGTTTTCAACTCTCCTGCCCTGAAACACAACAGCCTCTCTCGTATGGATCGAGATCTGAGGCGAGGGAAAATGGGGGCCAAAAAGGGATGTTTCTAAAGGGGTCCCTCTGGAACAGAGAGTGATGGAGTGTGTGGGTGGTGGGATTTATTCGCTGGCACCGTGTGTGTGGTGTCTACCAGTGCAGGAGGTATAGGCCTATCTCACCCACTGGAACTCCAGAGGTTTTTATGAGATGCAAACATGCACAGCATTATTTCAAAGGGAAGCATGAAAACAACTGGCTGACGATTCATGCGAGCTTGTGAGATGACGGGCTACCAGAACCAGCCCTGCTCAGCAGGTGCAGACAGAGAATAAAACTCCTGTGCGTGTCAGGATGAGACCGATTGAGCCAAGAACTGTGCTTTGGCTTGCCTGGGAACTCCACAAACGTCTGCTTCACCCATCGGAGAGCAGTGTTTGATTCATAGTTTAGGCACTTTCTTATTTGCTTGTATTAGTTGAAGAATTGTTCTTGTCAGGTTTTCTAAATCAAGTGTTTTTTTTTTTTTAGACTGATGGTCAGCTTTTTTGGTTGAAAAATTATTATACTTTGCTTCTATTATTTAAATGACACTGGCACAAATACTTAAAAAAAACAAACAAAAAACAATGTTTTATTAATGTTTGCATAAAATGGAAACTTAAATATTAATTTGTCCCCTATAGTGATGTAGGCCTATATCTGAGTAAAACAGCTTCTTGATTAAGAAAAAAATGTAAGGCGGGACTTGATTTTGTCCATTCGGAATTGATTGGATAATTGTGGTTTTGCTATTGCTGTGATGTCATTTATTGCGGATGCAGGACATCCAGCTAATAAAGCATGAACTAACTTTGCATAAGAAACAGATTAGCAATGTTTCTAAGGTGCAAAAAGGCTGTTCTTGTAACATATGAAATATAATTTTCAAAAGACAAGTTGCGGTCCAGTATAACAACCAGGTCTTTTACTGTAGTGGATAAACTAACAGGACATCCTTCTATATTAAAGTTGTATTGTAAGAGGTTTTGAGGGTAGTTTTTTATAAGTAATACCTCGGTTTTATCTGAATTTAATGGCAGGAGATTACACGTCATCCAGCATTTTATATCTTTAAGACTCTCTGTCAATTTGGATAAGTTAGTGTGTTCATCTGGTCGTGATGAAATATATAGTTGAGTGTCATCAGCATAACAGTGGAAATGAATTACATTTTTTCTTATAATATAACCAAGTGGTAGCATGTAGCGTTTATATTGAGAATAGCAGAGGGCCTAACACCGATCCTTGTGGTACTCCTCCATAGTCTACTGACATTATCTTTGATTTTTCCCCATTTAAATTGACAAAATTGTAACGGTCTGATAAGTACGATCTAAAGCAGCTTAATACCTGTCCCTTAACACAATTGTAGTTTTGTAGTCGATCCAAGAGTATTTTATGATCTAGTGCCGAATGCAGCACTAGAAGAAGAGTAGAACCAGTATTGAGATACAGTCTTGGTCAGAAGCTAAATGTAAATAATTTGTCATTTTAACTAGTGCAGTTTATGTTACTGAAATTTTTCATAGATCACATTCTTGCAAGAAAGAGAGCACAATTGAGTGGACACAACTTGTCTTTTTCTAGTATTTTAGACATAAATGGAAGGTTTGAAATGGGTCAGTAATTTGCTTGGTTATTTGGGTCTAATTGTGGTTTCTTAATAGGTTTTATTACTGCCAGCTTGAATATTCTTGGAACATGACCTAAAAATAAAGTTAATAATATTGAGAAGAGGCTCTTCCACTACAGGTAACACTTCTTTCAGTAGTTTAGTTAATAGATTAGATGAGTGAGAATGACCAAATCATTTACATTACATCATTACATCGTACAGGTCATCAAAGAATCCGTTCTTTTGCATCCAAACTTTTTCATTGTTTAGAAATAAAATGTGGTAAAATAAAATGTATTCTAACAATGTTGAGTTAACCTTGCGATTTCATTTAAAACGGCCTTTTTTGTAGTTTATGAATGTATAAGTGCCTTGAGTTTTGACAATAACAGGAAAGTGCTGCCACTTAGTGGTTGTTGTGCTCCAGCACTCCTCATCTAAGGGTCTTTGTGTGAAGACGTTCTCATTTAATATGGTCTGTAATAATTACTTGGGTAATTTTGTTGGCTATATAATTTTCTAAGGTTATGAGATTGAATACATTCTAAACAATAAAAAATGAATAAATAAACAATGCCTTACAAGCAGCAATAAGATTAACACTTAGATTGTATAGCCTACTAAATTGGCTCCAGCATTTAATTGGCTAGTTTTTTTAATATTCTAAATCAATAAACATAGACTACTATTCAGAAATAATAGACAGCAAAACATATATTTTTAAAAAAAATATTTGGACAGTTTCAGTCAAACCTATTAGCACATGTCAATGTGATTATTTATGTGAACTTTAGGATAACCAAATCCAAATGTAGGCTACATTAAAATTAATCCTCATGGAACCATTGTTTTTTTCCCCAAGGTATTTTACAAATGTATTTATTTTACTGTAGGTTCTCAGATACATATTTGTTGGAACAACTTTACAATTTAGGGCAAAGAAATTTGGAGAAACAGTCATGCTAACAATTAAAAATTTAGATAATTATTTTATGGGTAGGCTAGGCTATATTTAGATTGAACCATGGTGGGTCAGGCACCCACCAAAAATAGCCTACTTCTACTCTTAAAGCACAGAAACATTATTTGACCAACAGAGGGTGCTGCTCGTTTTAGCAGCTTTACAACACGTTTCCTTATATTCATCTATGTAATCATTATCATCTTCAAAGTACTTCAAACTCCCTGATATAACCTTTTTGTTGTTGCAATTGTTGTTGTTTTCCATCCAAATAATCAGAGAGAAACGTGCATCAATTCTCGGATTTTCTATTTCTGTCTTGTTTTTTTAGTTTGTTTGTTTTTAGTCGTATTTTGAAAAGTACTGCCAATAACTTGTCCAGAGACACATGGAAATGTTATTATAGGTCTAAACAAGACACACCCTTAGAAGTGCATAAAAACAATGAATTTTAAATGAATTTATTAAAAGTTTGACTTTAATTCAGTTCAACAAGTGCAATATGTTTCTCAAGGCTGGGGTCTGGACACACTTTGGAAGGCTTTAGGCCTACTAGCTTTTTCGCAACAGTTGCGTGTTTTTCATTTACTGGATGTGGTTGTGCTTTATGTGAATGAAACCAACCTTAAAATAGGAACCAGTAAAAGCCCACCCTTTGAAATGGAGTAAGAAGAACACTTTATTTTTATTAATTTTTCATGTATTTCTTTTAATATCAATAGCACGCCTTCACCTTTCCTATAATTCTGTGAATAAAACCAACCTTAATTTGTTCTTCTACGAATCAGTAACAACACACCCTTTGATGTTGAGATAGAAGGTGTATGTTTTAAATTATTTAACAGGTATAAAATTAATAAAATAAATGGTGTGTGTTCTGAATTTCAAATGTGAGTAAAATATGCATGGAAATGTTCTATGAACCAGTAACAAAACAGTCAAAACTTTACTTGAAAGGGTGTGCATAAGAGTAACATGACACCTCCATAATCATGATGACACGACACATGTTATGAATATGAAGGAAGTTTTATGCATGTTTATGACATTTGTGTCATGTCAACATGACATTAAGTGTCATTCGCTCAATTATGACATTTTTAATGCAAATATGACATTGTTTGAGATGTCTTGTTTATGACAACTTGACATAAACCAATACATCATAACCTTCCATAAACTGAGTCTTATGTTATGGAAATTTTAATCATTAGTGAAGATAACTTAAAAGCATGTTTCTTTTCATTATGCTAAATCGTTACCGATCTATTGAAGATTTCCTATAGGCTCAATTTCTGACAAATATCAGAGGGTCTAGCCAACTTTCCATCAGTTGTGTTCTCTAAATTGATTCATAAATGTTGATTCATGAATCATGCCCTCATAATGGTTCCTTATTTAACCAGCATATTGAACATTCTATTCAGCCTAATTAATATTAATAAGAAAAGGACTTGGCTTAGACAATACACACAGGGCACAAACAAGTTTATGTCCACATATTGGTGACACTTTATTATAACTTTAAAGGGTCACTCCACCCATTTGCATTAAGCTTTCCATTGTTAGAAACCCAGTCATACTATTGAATGGTTGAGCAACACTCTCTCATTGTCCCCTGAGACGAGAGAAATCTGCTATTTTCCTTTTTCACTTCCTCCTACAATGACGCAAAAATCGTCATTTTACGTCATTGTAGGAAGAAGTGTAAGAGAGGGGGATTTCTGTAATAAGCACTAGATCCCATAGATGCTAGATCCCACCCTTTCAAACCCAACCATAGGGGGTTGGACCTAATGCGCTAACAGACCAATCACAGATCAGTGCCAGTGCGTCTGATTTCACCGCAGAAATGTTTCAAAAACAATATCGACGAAGGTACTGATTCGCAGACGGATACATTATGGAGGATTGGGAGCCACAACACATAAATAAACCTTTTCCTTGTTTTAGCAAATTGAATGATTTTTGGTGACAAATCTTATTTTGACACATATTTTGGGAAAATGCTCTGAAATTTTTTAATAACTCAACAGTACACTCTGGGCAAATTCACTACCCTTTCGTTATGTTCATGTCTGAAAACAGCCACTACTTTAAACTGCTGTAAAAATGTATCAGTTTTTTTGTTTGTTTTTTCTTTTGCGTAAATCTATTAATCAACCTCAGTCCTGATCAAAACTACTAAATATTTAAAAAAAATTCAGGATTTCAATTCTTTAATTGCAAAATTCATAAATGATGTCACTGATTTGGGGGGAAAAACACACTAAATGACTTATTTTCAATATAAAATATGATTGTGGACTGACTGGATTTTTTTTGCCTTTTATCACAGTCTTGGACATGTCAAAGATTAGAAACAACAGTTTTTGTGCAGCATCAGATTTTAACTTTTTCTCCCTCATTTGTTCGTGGCTGTTTTTGCCCCATTGACTTCCATTATAACCACATTTTTTTATTACAAAGCCATGACACCATAAAATCATGCATTTTTGATTGTTGGTGGTTTTCCCAGTTGAGAAGAGGTAAGAAAATTGCTAAGAAAATAACTAAACGTAACTTACGTCTCAGGTGCTGCTCGGTAATCATGCCACCGGCCTCGCGTCGTTCTCCACACAGCTCTCACTCGTCCGGCTTGCCACAGTAAACACTCGCATCGTTCTCCACGTGGCCCTCACTTGTCCCGCTTGCCACAGTAAACATGACTTGCGTCGTTTTCCAGTCCACACGGCCCTCACTCGTCCCGCTCGCCACAGTAAACATGGTGAATGACGACTGTAGAACGCAAAAGCCCAATCCCGGACATTTTGGGCGATCTCGAAACACATTTTCAGGCAGAAGCATCACTGAGACTCACTAGCCTAGACTTGTTTACCTGCGCGTTTACCGGTAGGCGTGGCCTCCTAGGGCAGCGAACCAAGTGCATTCTGGGAGTTGTTGTCTTTCATCCACATAAGCCAAACATACATTTTCTGTCTTTTCTCAGTCTAGAAAGCTCTAAATTCAAAAATAATTTCACATTTCTTCTACATAAATTACCCATTTTAAATACACATTCATCTTTCCGGAGGTGGAATGACCCTTTAAAGCTTAACAGATTAAAAAATATGTTATCAATATGCCCGTTTACTGAGTTTTGAAATCAGTGATGGTGACTAATGTTCTTTTTTATGTATCAAGTATCTTATTTCTCTGGATTGTGTTGTAATTCTTTATTCAGTTTTTTAGTCCTGTTTGTGCAAGTGTTGTATCATGACGTTGCAAACTCTCCTTTGACTGACTTTCTGTAATATCTTTTAAGAGCCAGGTGTAATAGAGCAGTGTGACAGAGTAGCTACTGCATTTTATACTATACCATATTTCTGCAATTATAAAGGTTAAAATGCTAAAAATTTTAATAGAATAAACAATAAATATTAAATAAAACGAAATAGGACATGATGAGATAACCATAAAAGTAGGTGTGTTGATTGTGATTCATTGTTTGCCCACTAGAGGACGGTGCATCATAAAATTAACTTGTTTTGTTCTGAAGTTTACTCTCAACTGATACTATCAGCAATATTTCTGTACCCTATGCTCTATTGATAGTTATCATAGCACACATTAGGGATGAAAATACTGAACATCTTTATTTAGCTGCTTTTGATTGGGTCCTGTCTAACAACAGAAAGCTATACTCATGAGACTCAATAAAGTGAGTAATGATATTTAGGACATTTTATATAATTCACTTTGATCATCATGTGTGAAAGCTGCCCTACTTAAGTCAAAGCTTAGATCTTTAAGACATCAATGTCACCATTGTGAAATGTCCCAAGGCCACATGACAGTTTGTCATGAGTCAATTTTAGCATAGTGCTACCATGTTTGTTCTCTTAATTGCTTAATTTAACGCAATAATTCCTGGAAAAAAAACTAAGAATTGTTTAAGGGACAATGTCCTGTGTTGTCAGTGAATTAGGCATGACTTCACATGACCTGATCTGCTGATGCACATGCCAGATTAATGTTAAAATAGAAGCAGCCATACAAAAACAAATTGAATTTAACATTTAAAGAAATGTTTATGAATTCTCATATCTTAGGACATGTGCTAGTATAAAAGGTATGGGACTGTGCATGTTCTTTTTTGGTGCAATTAGTCAACCGGTGCCAACATGCTTTTCCTGATTAGTCACATATTACAGCTCAGATCAGATGATCAGCTTCAAAAATTCAGAACTGAGCAAAGATGGCAATCAAATTGCGCACTTCCAGCGCAAGCCGAACAACTGTTATTGAGATAAATAGGAAGGCTAATGGATTACAGAGCCTTCATTTGGTTTAAAAAAAAAAAGCAGCTCCTATGGACGTCCAAGTACACGTTGAATTGCCAAATGGAGTTTTGGTCAACACAAAAGTAACGGATGGCGTTCAGTTGTCTTACTGTAACCCTGACACATTGTTATATTTAGGCAACACAGCCCTTTTTCACCCACAGAAATGGGTGCTTGAAGAATGGAGTGTCGGATAACCACTCAAACCATCGTCGTCAATCCACAGGAAAGAAATGTCTTGACCTCAGAGCGAGAGAGAAAGATGAAGACAGAGAGAAGGGAGGAAGAATATATTTTAGGGAAAGCCAAACCGCAGGCACAGCTTCCAGAGCTTTACCATTAAACATCGAGCCTAGGGTGTCACTTAAAGACTTAGACTGATGACTTTGTGTTTTACCATTGAGCTACAAATTCTCTCATCTCTCATTTTGGCCTGTTGTGTTGACAGGAATCGAGAGTGATGAGGTTTTTTAAAAAAAATACCTACAGCAAAAATACATCTGGCTCAATTTGCTGAAACAGACCTCAATGATGTTTTCCCTGACAGAAAAATCATATACATTTATTGTACTTTTGAACTAGATTAATATAGATGGAGAGACATCCCATGTTACCATTTTCAGTTTCCCTCAAAGAATAGATTTTGACCAAAATCAGCTGTATTTATGCAACTGTAATATTTGTCTATTATTTTATGTTGTGAGATCCAGTTTAATTTGCATATTCAAGAGCCTGTGTCTCCAAGTGTTGACTGCACAGACATGTCTGCGGCCAAAGCAGCGGCCGAGCACCGTGTCATGTGGACGCTCGCTCTAAACCAAACGCTAACAGAGACCGGTCGAGAGCTTCTCTGGGATTGTGAGTAAACCCTTGGAATGCACTGCCTGGTTTTACACGGCTCCTTCACTGCACATGCCTAGTGCCACGTTTCACAGCGGCAACAGTGAAAGGTCATCCCTTTTTTCCCTTTCACAATTCTTTTTCCTCCTCCTCCTCTTCTCGCTCCATTTCTCTTGCTAGTTTAAACACACCAGCCTCTAAATTATGATGTAGCCATTTTTTTTTTTAGAAATCTCAAATGTCCAAATATGATGTTGATTATGTTTGATTTCAGAGCAAAAAATGTTCTACTGAAAATTGTGAAACTCACATGAGTGTTACTTCTTCAAGTGACCAGATATCAAGTGACCCAAATATTTAGGGTGGCAATAGTAAAACTGCCATTTATAAACATTAGATCTAAACATTTAACGATATTTATACCGTTCCACTCCGTACTGAATTTTGTACGTCAATATTCTGTAGTTTTTTGTCATCTTGACCTAAAATTATATCAGAAAACTGCCCAATAATTGACTTTTACAAATGTTTACTTAAGAAATCTGACACAAGTTAACCTCAGCCAGGCTGACTAATCTTTGTGAATGCATGTCTAGACCTATGGGACTCTTTCACCCAGTAAACTGCAGCTGTTTTGTGTGTGATAAGATATCAAAGCTGACATAATTTATGACTGTGTAACAGTTACGTTTCCCTCCCTCATTGTTAGAACACATGGAAAAACTTAAGCTCAAATGCGTAATCGATGTGATTCATAAGGACTCTCAACGGCTGCGAATTTCCTCAGCTCCCAAATTGCTTAGGACGTTGACCTTCTTTAGCAATCATATACGCTATTTTTAGGTTTGATGTGTGCACCAGTATGCTACAAAAAGAACACACAGGCTACTTTTACTGCAAATGGGTCCTTGATCTCCCTTTCGAAAAATAAGTTTATTGTAGTTTATAGTGTTCTATTAGTATACTTCTTTTTTCTGTGCTTTATAGAGCCACTTCCTGTTGAGATGGAGTCCCTGTTTTAATGAGCATTTAAGTTCCATTAGCCTCCCACTAATTTTACTGCCAAATTTAGTGTGATGTCTTTACTGGTTAAATAATCACTGTCTGGCATGTGTTATAAAATGTGTCTTGATAATAACAAGTATTGGACACATAAACCAGTATTACATTGCTTAGCAGCTTATATGTGGAAAATGTAATAAGACTTGTAAAGAGGAGAACCACAGCCACAATCACAATTGGAGTTATCAAGACATTAAGCTGAATGAAAGTGCACACAAAACATGTTATAAGCTATTGTTTCCCACAGTGCTTCATTACTCACCACTTAGTGTCATCATGGGAACTAGCAGTGTTTACAATAAATAATCTGGTATTTTCAGAGAGCATTTGGCTTCACCGGACAGGCTAAATGTTATGGACATTTCAGCATTTAATATACAAAGCTTTTAGATGTCACTTGAGAATAAAGTGAGATGACATCACACACTTTCTCATGCCAGACTTCCAGGAATGATTTGGATAAATAAGAATTGTAAGTAGAATCCAAGGAATGCACAAATTACATTAGTGATATTTTGGTTTAAAATGAAAGCTCTTGGATCAGCAGTGATGTACAAGAACATCAGATGTTCACTGCCAATCTGGTTTTGTATGCTTTTTTTTAAGAATACCATTTATTGGAACAAAGTTCTGTTCGGAATATATATATTTTGAATGACAAGTAATGCTTCCCAGTTCATTTTGTATTGGTTGTGAACTCTGCTCTGAATGATTCACTGAGTCTGATACTATAGACCACTAACTCTCAAGTGAGTATGAGAATGTTCAGTGAATCGATTTTACCAAATTATTAAAAAAGAACCAGCTCTTTTCAACAAATTCTGTACTATAGAGCTGCCCTAAACTCTACATATTTTTCTCTGTCAATAGCAGCAATTAAGTACATCAATGACCTCCAATGTTTGTGACGGTTTCAAGTTCCAGAAGTATTATTTTCAATATTTTTTTTCCATAGACATTTACATTATTATTATTATTGAAATGCCTTAAACCTAACTAACTTCCTCTAAGGCTTTGTTTACAACTGGCATTAAGATGCATTTTGCTTGTCCACTTTCAACCACTTCCAGAGGCAGTCGAAAACACATTCTCCCGGATTGCTTTCATAGCGTAAACACTCACGCGTTGGAATGTGTTTGAATACCCACAAAAAAAACGCCTACTTTCCACCTACAAATTTAATGTGTAAACATTATGGGAAGTGCGCTAGCCAGACTGGATTTAAACTTTGTCAGCTGAAGATCCAAGTATGGTTTGAAGATTAAAAATGTACCTAGCACAATGTTCTCTCACCATTCCTGATTTTTAACACACACACACACCACATTATAAGCGGGGTCTTGCGGCTATCAGAGCAGAAACGCAAGAAAATGCTCTCATGCTTTCCATTGTCTCCAGGAGCGCCCCCCCCCCCCCAATACATTTACCTGCCCATAGACTCTCCTCTTAAGGAAATCAGGAGAAAGTTGACAAAAGAGATGGATTAAAACACCAGGGCCTGATTTCACAGACAAGTCTCTGCCCTTACAGTTTCACTCTTATCAGTCTCTCCTTTATTTGTAATCCTTCTTTAATCTAATATATCATCTAGAGAATCCTTCTTTGATCTAATATATTATCTAGCTGTCCTCCATTTTGTTGTGAGACAACAATTCTGATGTTGTCACACCAATCCTCAAAGAATGTTGTCTAGTTCCTGCAGATTTAAATAGTTTCACATGATGTATCTTAAATCTACCTTTTAAAAGAAAATGTTTTGAAAAGAATTTTATTCCTGTCAGCTGCATTTGCACCAAGTTTCAAATAATCTGGATAAGCCTTTCCAGTCTGGTTTTTATCCTTGGGAGACAGCTCTCTGGAGTTTCTACCGTTTGTTAATGACCGTCTCAGTCTTCTCCATTTGAACCTTTAACCATGAAATTTGATACGCTGAAATAATATACTTCAGCAATTGCCATCGCTGTCACAGGTCTCTCCTGCTTAAACTGATGAAAGTAGAAGCTGTTTGTTTTTTCATTAACACAATCTCCCTTTTTCACTAGATGTGTACTCCAGGGATCAGTTCTTGGTCCTCTTCTTTTTGTAAACTGGTATACAATATTGTTTGTAATTACATGTATTTTGTCACAATACATGGCTACTTTAGGATGTTTGTAAATGGAAAAATCAGATAGTATTACAGAGAGCTACCAGTAGGGGTTAACAGCGTTATGCTAACCAAATATTTAACTCCTTGGTTTTGCCCCACAATACTTTGCTGATCTGCTGCACTAATGTACCATGTGCATCAGCTACATTGTTTGTAATTTTAATACACACAGCGCAGACATTAGATTGTCAGGTAAAGTTAAGACCCCTTTAAATACAGGAGCAACTTCAGTCGGTGTAGTTTTGAATCACTTCAACTTCAGAGTGTCCAGTTTTCCCACAAGCCTTCGTTGCTAATGATTCACCCACCACTCATGTGATACTCCTATAACCATGCTCTATTGCCTCACTGACCCTCTCTTTTTTTCCCATAAACCTCTTGACCGTGTGTATGTAACTGAACCCCAGTGGAAGTGTCATGGACCAGCTCCAAAAACTTCAATCTTCTCTCCCTCTCTCTTCTGTCGTCCTCTCATTTTCATTTTCGGCTGTTCTCTCCCACGTGCTTTCCCAACGTCCACCAGAAGGCCCCCCTCCCCCACCAACATCATCTGTTCTGCTTTTCCATTTCCTTCTTTGGTGAAAATGCTGAAAAAGAGAAGGGGAGGAAGACCTTCACCATTGTTGAGAGAGAGCGGATTTGGCCACGTGTTTGTTTTAAGTTCTTATGCCTCATCAAGGCAAAGAAATAGCACACTCAGCACGTTTCCACATAAACACACCCATCTAGCGGCACAAGGTAACACTGAATGAGATTGACGACTGTATTGGATAGCAGGCTCTTGGGTATGCAATTGAATGTCTTTGGCCCAAATTTAGTCAATTTGCCTTTTGCATAATCTAGTCTAATCTAAAAAAAGACGTTGGAATTTGTTTAATTTATAAAATATTTATTAACAATCAATAACAATTGTTTTTATTTTTTTAAATGAATTTTTTTTTTCACCACACCCCAAACTTACAAAGCTTGTATCACTTGAATCATTTTCATTAAATGCACATTAGCCAACTCTTTCTCTCCTGCATTTAAGCTCAAAGTGAATATATACTTACACATTTAGAAATATCCAGAGAGTGAAACTAGTAAAATTGGCATTAAAAATAATACTTACTGACTCAATTCGACAACATGCATACAATCATTTGTGACATACTGACACAAATATTGTTTAATTGCATTCACTCTTAACACAGAGACATGTTAATAAAGATTTAAGAAAATGCTGACTGTATAGGTCATAATGTAGACAAATGAATTATCAAACAATTAAAAAACAGAAAGTGAACAGGAAATAGTATGTAGTTTGTGTATATACAGTGTAACGTGTGCTGTATCTTAGTTTCTGTGCTTCTATAGATAATTCAAGCTATAGTAGTGCAAATGCAAGTCCGTCTTCCACCTGTATACAAAATGCATTTCGAACTTCATTTTTCCACTCATATGGACCGCAGAAACATTTGAGCTGTTATACATTTTGCATTTTGGAAGACTCTCCACTGTTTTGAATGCGTGTGCAATGCATCAAGAGGACAAATTCTGCTTAGAAACAAAAGGTATTAGTGAAGTTTTAGAAAAAGTGCTCACTAACTACAGCATTCAACAGTCACATCCATATTTATGTGTCATACATGGAGCGTAAAAAGCTAGATGTTTAGCTTTGGGTGCCTGCTTCTCAAAGTGTAACTTTTATTGTACCCAAAATGCTAATTAAGTTGTGCATTCATTCCTGTTCTTTCACTTGGCGCAGAGTGTTTGGAACAATTCTAAATGGCCGTTCAGTCACTTTAACAGAACACCAAACTTTAACCTCTGGGTGTTTGCGAAGGAATCTGTTTGAGTTCTTTCACAGGCTGCAAACACAAGGCTACATCCACCCATTAATGACCATTACCAGCCTAATGACAGCTCCGGTTGGCCAGGAAAAATAAAGATGGGAATAACTAGTAGGCACCTCAGATATTTTTATGCTTGCATACTGTAGAGACTTGCACATTAATGGAGTGTTGATTCTGGATTGTGCAACGGATAGACTATAGGCTACCAAGTCTCAACAGGAATATTTGGTGCATCTTTTAGAAGACCTCCGGTATTTTTTCCGGTGGCAGTATTTTGATGAAGCTGAGACCATTGTGTGAGGGGTTAGTTTGCTGTAATCTCAAACTGCAGGATCAGCATGGGCGTCAATTGAGACGGGAAGTTCTCAGGATAGGGCACAGCAGTGTAAAATAAGGATGGATGTATGTATATGGGAAGGTAAGGTGTGCGGATGGGGGTTGCGTTCTATAGGTTGCTGTTGCAGTTGCGACAGAGGATCTCGTCTTGCTCGGGAAAGAAGCCGGCACCCACCAGGGACACGGAGCATCTAGAGCAGGTAAAGCAGGGCTGGTGCCATTGCCGTTCCTCAAACGAAATGTACTTTCCTCCACCAAAACCTAAAAGGAAATAAAAATGACGTATAAGATATTTGTAACTTTTTTTATTAAACGAGTTGATGACGCAATCATTTTAAATAACCTCTAAAGCTCCCAATCAGTTTATAAACTAAAGTACATCCATGCATCTTTTACCTGTAATGGGTTTGCTGCAGGCTTCACACTTCTTAGCGTACAGGTTTCCAAAACATTTGATGCAGTATGGGCTATCCTCACGGGAGGTAAAGTGCTGGCCAGCTAGTTGGACTTTACAGCTTGTGCACACAAAGCACTCCTTATGCCACGGCTCATCTCTATAGGTCACACCACCTTTAGCCAAGGCCTGAGTTCAACAGAGACATAAACACATTCTAAAACATCTTCTCAGTCATTCATATAATATGTAACAATTGTAAGCCAGGCATGGTTCACTACAGTTGAGAAGTTTACTAGCTGTCCAACAATTGAGTAGTTTTATCTACTGTAGATCTGAAGCCAGATTAAAGCACCACCATTACAACCAATCCTTTTTGAGACTTCCACATTGCCCACATTATATAGCTGTTATTAACTTATCAAATCAGGGTGAGGTGAACTCAAAACCAGCCTAATTATACAGATTTTGAAAATACATAGTTTTTCACAACCCTGCAGATAATCATTTTATCTATCAGCTAAATTAATGTTTTGTTTTTTCTTTTTTTTTTTTGCATTTCACTGAAATATGAAGACTACAAACAGATGCTTGCCTGTCAAGATGTGAAACTGTCAGCCAGAGTTAATCAGTGACTGTTCTGATATGCAACATGAAGGAGAAATGACATCAGAATTCTGACTTTTTGTGGAGGAATTTGTGTGGACTGATGAGGAACACATGGTTATGTATTTCAGGCAGAGAGGCTAGTGAAATCCCACCACTGACCTGTTTACATCGAGTACAGCGTGGTGCGAACTTGTTCTCATAGCAGGGTACACAATAGTGGTCATCTTTATCTGGGATAAAGGACTTGGAGCCTATTGGTTGTTGACAGCTGTTGCAAATGAAACAGCTCTCATGCCATGTGGAGCCGGCGTACTCAAGCTTCCTGGTTCCTGTAAGAGAAAAAGAAAGGAAGCCTTTAAAACAAACAATTTCCTGCTTAAACCACCGTGCTACAAGATATAGAACTTTAAAGTAACTTTAAACATATAATAAATAGGGCTGTGAATCGATTAATAAATCTATGTGCCCATTTAATTTATTTGAAACAAGTTTAATAACAAATATCATACTTGTGAATTCAGTACTAACTGGGGACTTGCTCTGACTGGATCATTTGAATGAGTGAGTTGTTGACTCAAGAACAGATGCAATCAAATCAGTCCAATTCACAAATGAATCTTTCAGTTAGATCTGTGTACCGATTTAACTTTTCAAGTTAATTGAAAAGAAACAGATCGTTCATGATTCATGAATTGGACGCTGTTTCCCTATAAAAGACGAATTTAAGCTTTCTAAGGTGACAAAATGATGATCTGACAGTCGAGGCCCATCAACTGATTAGAAGGTTAAAGGTTGACGGTCATAATCCACAAAAGCGTTTCACACGTTAACCAGATCAAAAGCCCTGCCGAGAACCTACTCAAGAGGCCCCACTGTCAAAATCACCAAAGTTTTACATAGAGAGCAAAAGATAAAGGTCGTAATCCCTTGGATAATGAAAGACATTTTGAAGAAATATCCAGTTACATCAAGGCTGTCTCCCTCAAGTTCAAAACTCACCTCAAAATATATCACCACATCCATCAAAGCAAAGTATAATGTGAAACACAGAGCCCTCCATCCTTTTCTTTTTCCCTTATCATCTGTACATCATAAACCACTAACAATGTGTTCCCTCTTCCTATAATGTAGCCCTCAGATTACATGCATGAATCTGGACTCAAAATTGTGGCGGAATATTTTTTATCTTCTAGTTTTTGGTTTGGCAACTTTTGCAGGTTGTAATACAGTTTGATTTACTCACTGGATTTACCTCAAAAATAACAGCCACAGGTTGTAATGTCAATAGCAACTTGATTTACATTTCAAGGAGGAAATGGAGTGGTGCATGGATGACGTCAGAACCCGGAAGACTAATACGCCAGTGGTTCCTTCGGGGTTTTTGTGGAGTTTTTTTGTTTATGAGTAAAATAAAGTGTGTGGCTGTTACGTGCCACGTGCACTAAAATAGAGAACGACGTCTCCGTCTCCTGCTCCAGTAAATACTTCACCATGCAACCAAGGAGTTAAGGAAAAATCAAGTATTTATTTGATTACATGTAGTGGTAAGATTCATTCGTTGTAAAAGAAAATATAAAACGAACTGAGAGGGTTTAGTCAGGCACAAAAACAACAAACAAAACGGGTCTTCTAACTAAGTTTTTAGGCGTCTTCCCTGCAATTGGAAATAAACTAAATATACAATTCTTACCTCCCTGCTAACCAATAAACAGGAGAAAAAGTGAAAAGTAAAATAAAGGGCCTTTGGACCTCCCAAACAGTCTAAGACAAAGACAGAGTTTCTCGACATCATATTTACCGGCCTATACCGTTCACAATAAGGACGCTGCTCACAAGCAGCTTACGTTAAAGCTCTCTCACACACACGTGCTCTACAACGAAGCAGGAGGGGAACTCGACGAACAAGCCTTAACGTCAGTTAGATGACGCTATCTAAACCCAGTGTTGGGAGTAACGCATTACAAAAGTAATACATTACAGTAACATATTACTTTTTGCTGTAGCGCAGTAGTGTAAGGCATTACTAATCAATTTTCAGTAATATTTTACTCGTTACATGTTCTGTGAGGCTTGTATTACAGTTGTTTTACAGTGTATTATCTGCTTTTACTTCTTAAAGGCAACAGACTATGTGAAAGTTTTAAAGCAGTCTTTTAGTGCCAGTTCAGAGCGGTTGCGTCTGTAACATTGTTTTTTCCTCATAAATGCGAAACACGAAAACTAAAATAAAATGAATATTTTAAGTTCTATGGAGACTGGAGAGCCAACCCTTCCTCATCCGATGTGCGCAGTGTAATTAACAGAACTACAAAAAATATATTTTGCCTCCATTTTTTTGTCACGCATGAATGTGCGTCTTTTCCCTAATATTAAAAATAAAACATAGACTGATATTTGTCTAATGTCTGGAGTCCTTTAAGGAAGTAGCCTATATACGTTTCAATACATGAATTTTCTGAGAATTTTTATTTCAAGTCTTGACTGCAAATGTCATGTCCATAATGCTGGACTTCCCCAATTTTAAAAAAATTATCCTCAACTAGTTTTGTGGTGTAGGTCTACGTATTTTATAATGTTAACTTCAAATAATACTAATAGCCTAATTTAAAGATAAGGCAGCATTGGATATGGACGGTAAGGAGAATAATGCTGGAGTTGGAAGAGGTGTGTTGCGATTCTGTAGGTTCGTGGATCTGAGTCGTGTGGCGAATCGCGATATCGGTTTCATATTGCATATCGTTACAGCCCCAAAGTTAATTTCTACTTAGTTATTTTGGTGAAAGTAACTCAAAAGTAATACATGAGTAATGTAACGCATTACAATTCTGAGACAGTAATATTGTAAGGTAATGAATTACTTTTAAATAACAGTAAAAAGTAATACCTAATGTATTACAGTTTGGAAGTAACTTGCACAACACTGTCTAAACCTACCCCAGACCTAAACCTAAAGTGTCAGTTAGATGACGTCCTAGGATAGCGTCATCTAACTGACGTTAAAGGGTGCCCTAAAATGTCGGATGTTGACGTATGGTCAAAAGTGTCAGTTAGATGACGTCTTGGGATGAGAATGTTTTGGACCAGACCAAATCAGCAGGATCATTATAGCCAAGGATTGTTTGAATCAGTCAATGGTTTATTATTTTTTGTGTAGACTATAGCCTATACACTCACAATAAAAAAAAAAAAACATTGCTTGTATAGTAAAGAAAACATACAGCTTTCCTTTCAGTGAACTTGCTTCTCAAAAGCGATCATTTTGACCATGAACCGAAATACATTTGGCATATAGACATTGGCAATTTATTCCTTTTGACGATGATGATTCTGTTCTTTGTGCAGCTATTTGTGCATGCAGGCTAAAACTAAACCCATGGAAAAAATGTTTGTGTGTTTTTAATGGGTCACAGACACTTGTAAATTTTAGTTTAACATAATCTTGTTAATGAAGGGAGAATGATCGCGACGGTTGAAGGTCGCAGGGGGAAAAAGATTAGCATAAATGTTTTTAATAATAACTAAGTAAACTTTATATATAGGCTATAGTCTCCATAAAAAAAATAATAAACCATTCACAGATTCGAATGATCCTTGGCTATAATAATCCTGCTGAATTGGTCTGGTCTGACTCAGTTCATCATTGATTGGGAGAGAACAGTTCAAACTCGCTGGCTGTGTAAAACAGTGGGGGTGACTCATTATACGATTAGCAAAACGGAGTAAAATAGGGAGCAGTTTGTTCAACCAAAATAACGTTTTTATGTCATCATATAGCAAGATAAATGGTGTAAAAAGTGGTGTTCCACGCACACTAAAACGCCGTAAACTACGGTGTCATTGATGTATCACTTAATAGTTTTGTGGAAACGTTGATGCATATAGGGTTTTTGATTCAATTTTGAGTCAATTTTGATTCATTTACTTTGTCATTGCTGAATAAAAGCGTTAATTTCTTAAAAAAAATCTATAAAAACATATCTTATTGACCCAAAAGTTGAACAGTATTGTAAGTGGTTCAGGCTGAATTAGTTGCAGAAGTTTCATACTTGGGCCTCGCAGGCATTATAAAAATATGTAAAAGTCTTTCAATATAGGCCTCACCTTGCAAGCCTTGTTAAAGAACATACGTAACCTCCTGGAATTGTTACCTACTTTTCAGATAGATGCAGCCCCGCTGAAATGTTTTACTGGCTTATCTCCTCCTATCTTCAGAGGCTTGGACGGCAGCCATGCACAATGATTTGGCTGAGAGACAGCAAGCCAGGCAGACTGGCAATTATTTTGTCACATATAACCTGGTCCTCACCACTCTCTCACTTCTCTCTCCTTAAGTCATGCTGCTAGTATTTTGGATTTGCTTTGGCAGAACTTCGCAACCTTCCCCCTTTCTCTGTTTTGGCTCCTTAATGTTTGTGAATCTAACGTTACCTGCATACCTGTGGTCATGGCAAGCTGTCAGTTTCAAAAGTGCGAAGACTTGCAGTCTCACACAACAGGATTGAGAATCTAAATGAGCGGCGAAAAAGGAACTGGACTTGAGACCAGTCTGAACAGGATATCTCAGATAATGACTGATATTATCATATAAGAGTTATGACCAGTGGGGTCTGTGGTGTGCTGATGTCATTTTTACCAGGCATGACTGTTTTATCGCAGGCCACACATTTGGAGGAGAACTCGTTGCAGTAGCAGTCGTTGCACAGAAGAGCATCGTCCTGGCTGGTGAAGGGCTCGTCGGCCAGCGAACGGTCGCAGCGGAAACAGCGGAAGCAGTGTTCGTGGTAGTGACGGTCCTCGTAAAACAGCTCCTGAATCACACAACACAGGCATGTTACCGAACTTTATTAACTACAGCTTCGGGGGGTTAATAAAGGCCTTCTGAAGCAAAGCGATGAGTTTGTGTAAGTAAAATATTAATATTTAACATGTTACTAGTTTGGGGCCGAACATACACAGTTTACTTGTGCCTAAAGGACAACTTAAGCAAACTTATGACGTCAAAAGTAGCATAAATATCATCAGTAAGTCGCATTTCGCGGACAAGTTGCGCTTTAGATTTCAGTCGAATCCGTATGTTTGGGCGGAAGCTAGTTAGTTTACTTTATAAAGTTTTAAATAGTAATATTTTCCTAACACAAACCCATCGCTTTGCTTTAGAAGGCCTTTATTAAACCCCCAGATCCGCGTGGAGTTCGTTTATGATGGATGTATTCACTTTTTTAAGCTTCAAACTGTTGGTTGCAATTCACTTCCATTATCAAGAAGAGCCAAGGATATTTCTTTAATATAACTCCGATTGTATTCGTCTGAAAGAAGAAAGTCATATACACCTCGGATGGCTTGAGGGTGAGTAAATCATGGGCTAACTTTCATTTTAAAGTGAATTGCTCCTTTAAGATAAACTCTCCCTTTTTCACTAGCTTTGTTGTAGCTCAAACAGTAGTGCAAACTAACAACGTCAAGATCATGGCTTTGATTCCCAACAATAAAGATGTAAATGTGTACCTGTGCAAATGCAATGCAAGTCGCTTTGGATTAAAGCATCTTCCAAATGCATAAATGTTATGTACTGTAAATGTACAAACGTGAGCTAGCAGCAGAGGGTGCACTGGTGTCTCCATATTAGAATATTAAAAATGTGGCGTTATTATAAAAGACAAGTTGACAAATCCACAGATTAGCCTTGTTTATAGGAAAAAAGTAAAAAGAGGCCACAAATTAAACAGCTTTTCCACAATCCCAAGTACATTTCTCAAGTAATGGCAATGAAATAGCATATCAAACCCTAGCACATGTGCATCTTGTTATTTGTGTGTGTGTGTGTGTGTGTGTGTGGAGTACATGGTGTCTGGGTCGACTCCTCATCTAAAATATGTAAACACATAGTAATAAGACAGGGAGGGTGAAATTTATGACCTGTGCTGCAAACGGCCAAGACAAACAGCGACTTTATTTAGCATCTGCTGTCCCTCATTGTCATCAGAAGCTTTGTCTGTTTGTGCACAGATTCCTGATTTCCTGTGGGGAGTTTACTACAGTGCTTTATTAACTGCATTGTTTGGTTTTTATTTAATTTAGAAGGGATTAGTTACCCTCAAAACGGGAAGGATTAAAGTCTCAATTGGTTGCTAATGTTTTGCCTGAGGTTTTCAACATTGTTGCTCTGACTGAAGTAGAATGACATTTCTAATTGGACAATAAATGCCTTTTCTCAAAAGAACTGCTAAATGGACAGTTTCAGGCTGAAACCACATAAAAAAACTTTCACAGTGTAATTGAGTCTAATTCCCCCATCCCACCCGACCCCACCACCACCACCATGGAAATGCTCCTGTAAAAGCAAAAAAATGTGCTGTACAAAGTGAACCAATCACTAGATTCACTACTTTTATCCCTTCAGAGGGAATTCACTCAATTTTTTTCCATTTTGTTGGTCTAAAGCTGTGGTCACATCTACTCGACACATTTGTTCGGCGACATTTTGCGGGCGAAATCCGGTCATTCCAAAAGGAAGAATCACGCAATCCTAAATTATGCATGAGGGCCAAAGATTTAACCAAGCAGGGTTCAGGTTCATCACTCAAATTCTTTGCGTTTGTGTGACCATGGACAGGGGACCTTTTTGTCTGCAGAATTTCATTGAAAGTCATTTAAATTAAATTAATGTAAATTAGGAGAACTATCCCATTAATTAGTGCAACTCACTCTTGAATCGTGGCCAATCAGCTCTTTGCACTCATCACAGGTGTTGGCGAACAGGCTGTCGTAGCAAGGGATGCAGTAAGGGTTGTCCTCCGCCTGGATGTACTTCCTGCCGTATAGGGACTCCTTGCAGTTGTCACAGTCAAAGCGCTCGCTCATGTTGATCCTGATCCGAGTCAGTCCCTGTAACACACACATAGAAGGTACAGTTGGTTGTCAGTTACATCGTCCTGAGAGAGAGAGAGAGAGAGAGAGAGAGACACTAACAAACACATAAATGCAGCTCTGTCATGAGGCACTCTGCAAAACGTCCATTAAGTTTTATAGCTCTTTGATGATAGCTGGGAAACGAGAGGGAGGAAGCTGGAATTTTAGCAAGCGTACTCTGCGACTGTGCTGCATGTGACGTGGCAGCTGCAGTAGAGCTTGAATAGGAGCCCACTTTTAGAGAAATAACCATTGTTTTAAGAGCTTTGTTTTGCTTGGCCAATGAGGAAAGATGGCTTTGAGTGATGTTTTTCAAAATTTTTCATCACCATCTCACTGTGATGGCTGTTTTCTTTAAGACACAGTGTGTCACAAACACAGGGGCTGTTTTAAGTACTTTTAACTTAAAAAAAAAAATCCATTTGGCCTTTTTTGCAATCTGTTTTGTCTGCATCTTACTTTTTTTGAAAGCAAGATCACATCCGGTGTGAACGGGCTCGATTATTGCAAGCCTTTTGGTGCCTTTCAGTAAATTATATAGGACTAAATTAAGCAAACATTCAATCATAATTTAATGTTCACAGATCAGACTGATAGATCTATTAATATTGATTAGTCACCTTACACTACCAATTTAAAGCAAGGACACATTTAATTGGTCAAAAATAACAGTTAAGACATTTATAACTGTGACAATAAAAAGAAATGTTTCTTAAGCACCAAATCAGCATTAATGTTTTCTGAAGGATCATGTGACACTGAAAATTCAGCTTTGCAATTACAGGAATAACTCTGAATTACTTTTTAAAATATAGTAATATAAATAATTTGGAATAATATTCCACAATTTTACTGTACTTTTGATATCATTTCTTATGAGATCAACTATTACCCACACATTTGAATGGTAGCCTAGTGCACATCACCTAATTTATATATACATTTTACATTTAAGCATTTGGCTTTTGTCCAAAACTATTTACAGTACTGAATTAGAGGGAATACGTTTTATAACTTCTTGCTTGCACATATGGCCAAATAGGCAGCAAAAGCTTAGTTTTGGGCATTGATTTCCCATCGATTTCCTCTTTGTTATGTTTTTTTTTTTAATCAAATTCCTGGAGTTTGCACCTAACCCAAGTTTGAACCCATGTGTAGAAAAAAAAGACAAATTCATCACTGCATGATGTATAAAAGGCCTTCAAGATCACAAAGGTAAGACTATATTCTTGTTTGGAAAAAGACCTCATTCTGTTGGAGGTCTGCACATTTGTGTGCTTCACCAGCAAATATTTGTGAATAAACACTTCTGCCTTGGATGTGCAGACCACCTAGGGAGAGTGTTTAGAGAACAGCAAAAGTGACAAGAACTCTTAATTTTTTTTTGAAAGAACAAGCACTGATCCAAAACAACACTGATGTTTTTTATTTTATTTTGTAATGCCTGTCTTATCACAGAATCTTCACAGGGGAGTAACGATCATATTTGTTCACATTCGGTACAATAACATACCCCATGTTCACAATGCGAGGTGTTAAAGGGTTAGTTCACCCAAAAATGAAAATTAAGTCATTAATTACTCACCCCCATGCTGTACCAACCCCACCTTTGTTCGTCTTCGGAACACAAATGAAGATATTTTTGATTAAATTTGAGAGCTGTCTCACTACCACATTGGCTGCCTAAGGGATTGAAACTTGACGGCACAGAAAGTCAATGAAGAAAATGTTTAAATATTCCATGTGACTACAGTGGCTCAACTTTAAGTTTATCAAGCGACGAGAATACTTTTTGTGCGAAAAAACAAACAAAAATAATGACTTTATTCGACTATTCCTTTTCTTCATTGTTGGCCTGAAACGAGACTTCCTTAGATTTCCACGACGCATGCGCGAGAACTGAACTGAAGTAGTTGAAGGAGATCGCAATTCTCGCGCATGCGTCGTGGAAATCTAAGGAAGTCTCGTTTAAGGCCAACAATGAAGAAAAGGAATAGTCGAATAAAGTCGTTATTTTTGTTTGTTTTTCCGCACAAAAAGTATTCTCGTCGCTTGATAAACTTATAGTTGAGCAACTGTAGTCACATGGGATATTTAAACATTTTCTTCATTGACTTTCTGGGCCGTCAAGAGCCAGTCCCTTAGGCAGCCAATGTGGTAGTGAGACAGCTCTCAAATTTAATCAAAAATATCTTCATTTGTGTTCCGAAGACGAACGAAGGTCTTACGGGGTTGGTACAGCATGGGGGTGAGTAATTAATGACTTAATTTTCATTTTTGGGTGAACTAACCCTTTAAAACCATTTACAGTAAACACATAAACCAAAAGTGTAATAAAAAACAACACTCGGTTACTAACGTAACCTAGAAACAAGTGTTGCTTAAGCTAGCTGGAAATCTCGAAGCAAACCAGAACGGAGCACTAGCAGGGCAGGGTTACGCAACACTCGTTCCCTCTACTAGAGAACCGAGGTTACGTTAGTAACTGAATGTTGTTCTCTTACGAGAGTACTCTCGAGTTGCGTAAGCTAGCTTACGCTATAGGAACCCAATGTAAAATGCTGTGTTTGCTGAAATCATCTATTTATAGTCCCAAGGGCAAGTGCATGGAGCCTAGCTCTGCTCTGTGCAACAATGCCTTTTACATGTAAGAAAAATTAAAGAATATGTTTTTGGCTTTAGTATTCTTGAGAAAAGGGATTTTCCAGTAGTGTTAAGCAACGCGAGAGTACTCTAGTAAGAGAACACCAGGTTGACCTTAACGTGAGCATACGGCCCTGCGAATGCCCGTCACGGACTAATATTGTTACAGCGTTGCGGCAACGCTATCAGGTTGCCAAAAGAGACGTTGGAGGGAAAGCCTCATGATAAGCGATAGGCCTCCCTGGCAGAGACAAGCCCAGTGTATCAGTTTTTACCCAGCTAATAATAATAATCAGCCACCGCTGAAATAATTAATCTATTTACGCTGCCTGTCTCACACACGCCCACAGGGAGGGTGTAATCACGGGATGCGAGATGAAAGATATCAACCACAGTGTTTCATCTTTCCTCTTTCCTCTAGCAAGACAAAAGGCTCAAATGTTCGTGGGTGTGAAAAGCTAAGATAAAAAAGGGCGCTGCACCTCTTGAAGCTTCATAAATAATCAGCTGACACTCTTTTACTAGATACCACTTACCCTCAGCTGAGAGCTCCTTTAAAAGCTTCTTTGCCCTGAATCTGCTCGTAAATTAGGGAACGTTCATGTTTAAGGCTCCCGTGGCCTGAGGCTGCCCCTGGTTTACATCATTACAGACCTGCGTTTGAGGGAATATGAACCTTCTCTGTTCCCATCAAGGGTATCATGGTTCTGTGTTTTTCCTAGATTGGTCAATGACATGACACACTTTTTTTTCCAAGTCATTAATTAATTCAATAGTCCATTAAAAATGCATACTCTTTTAATATATAATTTGGCTTTGTGGAAGTGAGACAAGGCTGGTTCAATGGGACTCCCCAAAAATGTAATGATTCTTATGAATTTATCATTCATAATGTGTATAAAAATTTCTTTTTACCTTGAAAATAAATATGTTTAAAAAGAGATCGATGCTGAATAGAAAAATTTACTCTAAAAATATGTGGTTACACCACATGACAATTTTAGAGTTGTTAAATTGAACATTGTGTTTTCAAGATGAAATAAAACCAAAATTTATTAGAAATTGGAACACATTATAAAAGTAGATTTTTCCTTTTATTTACTCTTTATTGTCATTATACCATTAAACCCCCATCAGTGCTATTTTGGCATTATTTATATACTACTAAAGTTATATAATGGCTTTTATATTTATACTTTATGTCCTTTTTTAATAATTATTATTTTCAGTTTTTATTTCTTAATAATTTCAGTTGTATTTTTATTTTTGTTTTAGTTTTTAGTACTTCAACATGAACTTATTTCAGTTAGTTGCAGCTTTATTTCGATTAACAAAAATGTTTGTTAATAACATTAGTTTTAGTCAATGATAACAAAATGACAAACGAGGAAATCTTTGCTGACAAGTAACTGGAAAAGATGTAAAATTGAGTAAAGAGAGCTTTTGTGCAGGTGTGTGAACAACCACCATCTACTTCCTTGATCTTGCCTCAGATCTCTAGAGCTAATGGCTCTCACTTCCTGGCAACTTGATAGACTGAAAGGAGGAGAAATTAAACCAGGCTTAGTGCTACAGTAAATGTAGCATGTTATAAAAAGAAGTTATGAAGGTCTGATAAACATCTTTTAAATGTACGTGGAGAAAACTATGTTGCTTATAATGAAAGTCGGCAGATCTATGAATATTTTTTTCTTTGATTTGGCAAGTATATGCTAAATTTCACATTAAGTTTAATCTAAATACAGGACGGGCTGTTTGCACACGCCAGGAAGGATCGCCAACAGTGTTTCGAAAGCCTCATCGTTCACCCAAGTAACGTCAACAATAGCGGTTCTGCAGCCTGACTACAAGTGTGTTTACGGTCTCTGGGGAGACGTGAGCTTTAGTTAGAATAACTCGCCTTCTGGTAAGCATTAAATATGAGATAGGAGCGAGTCCTTCACTGTACGGAGGGAAATATTGTTCCAACCCAGATGATATATAAATACTAATGTTGTATAGGGCGGGGGTTGTTATTACTTCCTTTCTGTCCTCAGTTTCTAATACATCATGGGAGCAACAAGCAACATGAGAGTAAATGGGCACTTTGGACTAAGGTGGAGGGCATGATGTCATCGGTGACCCCAGGGCTAAACGTCCAAAAGTGATTCAATCCAGAAGCTGGGAAAATGAAGTAAGACCTCTCCCTCTACTTACAAAGTCAGAGCTGGCTTTGGTTGAAATCTAATGTGGTATTTTGTACAGGAATCCTCTGACACATTGCATTTGAAAGACTATCAGGGATTTCATTTGTGCAAAGTGTTTTGTTACTGATGAAGTGGCCTCTGGTTAAA